ACCAGGTAGTTATGTCGTCGGTAGAACCGATGTAGAGGTAAATCGTCGACGTAGCGATAAGAGATGTAGTTGGCGTCTTTGGTGATGAGTCGGTACATGCCTTGGTCGTGAGGCAGTTGACGGAATCCGATGCGGGTGAGGCGGGTGTGTAGGTGCTGTTGCCACAGCCGTGGGGCCTGTTTTGATTCCGTAGAGCGATTTGAGTAGCTGGCAAACCTGATTAGGTTCCCCGTGGGTACCATGTGGGAGCTCAACGAAGATTTCGGCGTCGACGGGTGCGTAGAGGAAGGCGTTAGCAACGTCGATTTGCCGTAGTTTTCTTTTCTTCATGGCGGCGATCGCGAGGAGAATTCGGAGTGAGGCGTGTCGGCTAACCGGGGCGAATGTCTCGGTGAAGTCCCGTCCGTGTTCCTGATCGAATCCTCGCACGACCCAGCGTGCTTTGAACTTCTCGATTGTGCCGTCTGCCTTCGTTTTGATGCGGAAGACCCATTTCCCGGTGAGGATGGTCTTGTTCCTTGCCACGCTAACTGGAACGACTTTCCAAGTGTTCCGTTCCTCCAAGGCCTTTAATTCTCTGTCCATGGCTTCACGCCATTTCTCCCTGTGTTCCCCCCCCAGAGCCTGCTGAACTGTCGCAGGCTCTTCAGGAAGAGGATGGCCGTGGACTGCGGTGATGAGGCCGCGAGAATCTGCAGTCCAGTCTGTGAGTAACGGGGGAGTGTTGTGTCCTCGGGATAAGCTGCTTCATCTCCCGCTTCTGGGTCGGTTATGAAATTCGGTCCTATTCTTTCTGCTTCGTTGGTGTTGACTGTCGCAGGGTTACGTAACCATTGTCGGCGAAGTGGTAGAAGACTTCGGCGTTGGCGCTTTCGCGAGGATTTTCTTCGTCCATGGGGACGTTGACGGAGCAGAACGGGAGAGGTCCGGCTTCTTCTGATGCGTTGTCGACGTTCTGCTCGTCCCAGTCTGCTTCGTCCGCTGCTGAGGCGAAGGCTCGGTCACCACGAAAACCACCTGTGGGGTCCTGATTTTCGTGCAAGTTGGCGAGGTACGTCTGAAGCGTGAGTCGTTCGTAGAAGATCACATCACGTGCTGCTACTGTTTCCTTGGAGTGGACGTCGAAGATTTTCCACGCGTTGTAATTCTTTTCGATGCCGAGGTGTAGTCCCCACTGTGTGCGTTGTGAAAATCTTCCCGCTCGTGCTTCTGGGGGTCGGTACTGTACCATGCACCCGAAAACTCCTAACATTTTTGTGCTGCCCTGTTTCCTTGTCCACAGCAGATGCGGTGATGCGTTGTTCGGAAGTGAGGACGACGACATCAAGTTGTGCAGCATGACCAGCATGGTCCATTGCTGCAGGCCACTGGTGGTTGGGTAGCCGCATGCCACGTAACAATTTTGCGCATGCTGTTCTGCAGAGTCCTGTTCATTCGTTCTGCGACACCTTGCTGCTGATGGGCGTAGGGAAGGGAGAGGAGTTTCTTGATTCCTCTTTCCGCCAGGTCGTACTGCTTGAATCGCTGAGAGGTGTATTCTCCTCCTCCGTCTGACTGGAAGCTTTTCAGCTGTGCTCCCGACTCTCTTTCTACTACTGGTAGCCAGGCGGCGAACGCTGCGAGTGCCATGTCGCGGCTTGGGTAGATTTAGATGCCAGACGTATCGAGTGGCGGCGTCGATGAAGGTAATCGGTGTAGTTGTAGGTAACTGTCCCTGGTTCTCGATTGAAGAGAATATCGCTGTACACCTTCTCGAGTGGGTGTGTACGCGGGTTGCGCTCGGGTTGTGATGAGGAGTGAACGGTCGATGTGGTAAGTCGGCTTCGGGGCAGGTAAGACAAGTCCCTCGTGCCTTTTGGAGTTCTCTGCCGTCGGGTATGTAATAAATGAGTCCTTGTCTAGGACTCCTGCTCTTATCGTGTTATTTAACACTGTGTTGCTTGGATGTCCCATTTGTGCGTGCCATATGTCTTCGGAGGCGCGGTGTTCGGGTGAGCGTCGATACGCGTCGGAGTTGGAAGTAAAAGCTGGCAACGAAGTTTGCGCTTCTGTGGACTTCTCGTTGAGTTGGTTTCAACTGCTGTCTGTGGGCGTGTTGGTGGTGTTTCGTTGACGAGGACTGGTGTCGTTGGTCCTGCTGCTGCTGCCGATGTTGTGTCTGCTGCTGCCGATGATGTTTCTGCTGCTGCCGATGATGTTTCTGCTGCTGGCCGATGACGTTTCTGCTGTGCTGCCGAATGTTGAATTGTTGCTAACGCGCGTGTTTCTTATCTGCTTCAGGGATGGTGTGCGAGTACCAGAAGCCTTCCGGGCTGAAGTCCGGATCAAGATCCGGAGGATGTGTCCAGTCGGCGAAGTTCACGATGGCGTCCGCTGTCTGCAGTGCCCAGGTCTGGGACGAAGTCTAGGACGAAGACGTTGTTCTTCAAGACCGCCTTCCCGATGTAGAGGCCGCCTTTCCCGTGTATAATTTGAACTCCTGGGTGGTACTGTCGGCTTCCAAGTGAATGCCTTTCGCCATCAACTGCTGACGCTCAGTAAGTTGTAGACGAGTCCCTCCGCGATTAGTACCTTTGACATATGCAGTATAACATTTGTCTCTTGTGACTGAAGTCGTACTACTCCTTGTCGTTGTGTGCGCAGGTTCTGGTTTGTTGGCGACTGTGATGACGACCTCGTCGTTGAAGTCGATGTTCGCGTTGGACGAAGCGTCCGAAGAGCACATGTGCTGTCCACAGCAACTGTCCAAGAACCATGTATCTTTCCCGGACGGTTCGCTTTGAGCAATGGCGGCGTACGTCGGGTTCGGTTGAAGGGACTCGCGGCAAGGCGTGCTGTTGTCGAGTTGCTCTTCTGGTGAGTAGTATGGTGGTGACTCGGTTGTGCAGGAATCTGTTATCTTTACCATGCAGTTGACGATGTTTCTTGCTTTTTGTGCAGGTTGTCCTGTTGGAGTTGTTGAAGCTTCGACTGAAGGTGTCGGGGTAGCTTGTGTTGAAGTGACTTGGCTGCTCGGAAGGTCGAAGTTGTCGCTGTGGTGTTGTCGATTGATGACGATACGGGCAGTGCGTACGAGGATGCCCTGAAGTCTTGCAGATGTGGCAAAACGGAGGTACTGGCTTCGGTTGTTGTTGCTGTCGACTGTTGTTGTTGTTGTTGTAGCGTCGCTGGGGTGTGAAACGCGAACTCTGGTACTGACGTTTTCTTCTTATGTCGTTCTTCTTGCAGGTCCATGTCCTGCTGCTCGGCATGGATTTCGGCGCAGAGTGCTGCTTCGGAGATTCTCCCGTGTGCTCGTAGTATGGCGCGAGTGGAGCGCCAGTGAGGGCCGAGACCGCCGATGACAACCGTGACAAAGGCGTCTTCTGAGATCGACCCCCCCACATCGAAGAAGCCTGTCGCGCAGCTCGCGGGCAGCGACTGATATACTCCATGCCCTTCTCGGCCTGGTTTTCATTTCTATTGTTGTCAGCTGCGCCATTAACCGACTTTGGTTTACACTGTCTGTTGCTTGATACAGGTTCTTCAAATGGTTGTACGCGAGCTCCGCGGAGTTACCGTAACCTCGGTAAGTCCTTATGTTCTGCTGTTGGGTCGGGGTGATGTTCCTCAGTAGTATTGTGTACGCCATCATCGATTGATAGGTGTACTGCTGCTTCTCATACTGTGTGCCGTTTGTTGGATATGGCAGGGACCCGTCGAAGAAGCCAAGGATCTGCGCTCCTTCCATCATCAGCTCGAATTCGAACGACCAGGTAAAGAAGTCCTTTCCGTCAAAAGGCTTTGTCGTTTGTAGTTTTAGAACATGCGCGAATTGCGACTGAACTTGTAATGCGTCCAGCGCTCTCTCTTGTCCCGGTGCAGGCTGTGGTTGCGGCATGAAGCTGACAGAGCCGCGCTGGGGCTCGTACGGAGCGAAGGTATGGTTGTTTGATGTTGATTCCCGCGTGCGTAGGATGAGCCATCGAGACTCATGGGCGTCACGTTGTTGTTGTTGTTGCTGTTGTTTGATTGCGCAGGTACTCCTTGCTGGTGCTGCTCGTAGTAAGGACATGAAGGAGAAGAATTTCTCCATCATGCTTGGATCGAAGCCCGCGCCTTGGTTTGCGGGTGTTTCCGTAGACCCAGCTGCTGGTCTCGTCGTTGTCCCTTCCTCTGTCTGTAGGCCAGAGGCAAGAGGTGGAGTAGGGGTAGTACCGGGAGAGCTGTTGGAGGAGCTCCTCTCCTTTCTAGCAGACATGTCTTCTTGATGTATTGAGTGTTGAAAAAATAGTAACTTTTAACTCTAACTGCTCTCATACCATGTTGGGCTGAAAAGCCCTAGGATCTTTGTAGAGTTAAAGTCTGAGTAAGTGATGTAATAGCGGAAGCGTTGAATAAAGTCCTTGAACCACCTTGCGCTAGTATGTGAGGGCAAAGTAAGTTGATTAAAGCAAAGAGATACAGGAATAAATATATGAGTACAAAGAATATGAAGAGACATTATGACTACTTTACTGTTGCGGTTCGATACAGTGCGACTCGGGCAACTGCTCAATGTCGAGTCAGTTGTGTGTCCTTGCTGTCGCGCTGCGTCAGGTCAAAGGTCGCTGACCTTTGACTTTCTCGTAACCTCCAGCGGTTACGTTAACTTCCGAGGGTTGACTCGCGATGCTTCGATTTGAGCTGCTTCGCTTGTGTCTTGAGTTCTGACACGACAGAGGCGCTTAAACTATTTGTTCCCAACATGCTTGAGGGCCAGTTCACGATGAGAGAGATATGGTGGTACATTTATAGAGCACACATTTCCCTCAAAATATGAAGGAAAACAAACAGATACTGTACATGTTGAACAGCTTACCACAGGCATTGACACAGAATGTGTGTGATCTCCCAGCAGATTTTGCAACCCTCCCAACTATGGCTTTTCCACACCCGAAAAAAACCAATGTTTATGGTACGTAGGGTGTTCATTCAACTCGCACCCTTCTACCATACACTCTCAAAAGGAACCTCAAAGCAGGTTGCCCTTGCTCCCATAGGCACTAGATGAAGGAGCTGCAGCATCAGAATCAGCAGCAGCAGCACCATCAGCTGTCTGCTTATCACCTCGTTGAAACCACCCCAGAAGGCCCTTAGCCTGGCTGCCTCCCCCACCAGCCTGACCGTTCTCCCCTCCACCCGTCCCCCCCTCCAATCCCTTCCCTTTCCCCCCGCTCTTCCCCTTATCCCCCCCTTTCCCCTTGCTTCTCCCCTTGTTGACGAACGCGAATCGGTTGCGGTAGAAGCACCGCACGCCGCGGAACCAGTCCAGCCCGCCGGTTTCTTCCAGTGCTGCCACCCGCACTGCCAGCACCAGCTCCCTCAGCAGCATCTGATCCGCCTGGGCGCTGCAGGGGGGAAAGGGAGGGGAGAAATGAGGGTAGTGTGGACGGAGGCATGAGGAGAGGAGGGTTGAGTGGTCGGGTTAGAAGCACCGCACGCCGCGGAACCAGTCCAGCCCACCTGTCTCCTCCAGAGCTGCCACTCTCACCGCAGGCACCAGCTCCCTTAAAAGCATCTGATCTGCCTGGGCGCTGCAGAGGAGAAGAGGTGGTGTGGGTTGCATGGACAGGGAAAGGGAGAGAGAGGAGAGTTTAGGGTTGCGGTAAAAGCACCACACGTCACGGAACCAGTCCAGTCCGCCAGTCTCCTCCAGAGCTGCTACTCGCACCACAGCACCAACTCCCTCAGCAGCATCTGATCTGCTCTGCCTGGGCGCTGCATCCAGTAAGGAGGGAGAAGGGGGAGAGAGGAGAGGGGTGCGCACAAGCACCGCACATCACGGAACCAGTCCAGCCCTCCGGTTTCTTCCAGTGCGGCCACTCGCACCGCCAGCACCAGCTCCCTTTGAAGCACCTGATCTGCCTGGGCACTGCGCAGGCAGAGGGAGAAAGGAGGGATTGGGAGGGGTGCGCACAAGCACCGCACATCACGGAACCAGTCCAGCCCTCCGGTCTCTTCCAGTGCTGCCACCCGCACTGCCAGCACCAGCTCCCTTTGAAGCACCTGATCCGCCTGGGCACTGCAGGAGGGAGAGGGAGAAATGAGGGTAGTGTGGATGGGACCATGAGGAGAGGAGGGTTGAGTGGTGGATAGAAGCACCACACGCCGCGGAACCAGTCCAGCCCTCCGGTCTCTTCTAACGCTGCCACTCGCACCGCCAGCATTAGCTCTCTCAAAAGCATTTGATTCGCCTGGGCGCTGCAGGAGGGAAAGGGAGACAGGAGGGCGAGGGGGTGCATAGAGGATGGGGGGGATGATGGGTGTATGACAGGGTAAAAGCACCGCACACCACGAAACCAGTTCAGCCTGCCAGTCTCTTATAGTGCTGCGCCACTCTCTCACTGCCACTCGCACCGCCAGCACCAGCTCCCTTAAAAGCATCTGATCTGCCTGGGCGCTGCAGTGGGGAGAGGACGAAGGAGTGGGAGATGAGAGGTGCCCTCAGATTCAACCCAACCCATCCCATCCCATCCCATCCCATCCCAGCCCATCCCAGCCCAACCCAAACCCAAAACCACAAGTGTTTTGCACTTTACCTCATCACAGCAAGCAACACATCCCTCTTGGTGTTCTCGGTCCTCAGCAGCACAGAGAGGTGCAGCTGGAAGGTGAGAGTGAGCTCGCTGCAGCAAACGCCCTTGAGGCAACCCACCCCCAACCCAGCCCAACCAAACCGAACCACTGTCTTATGAGCAGTTTTTGCGGGGCAACACGACCACACCACTCACCAGTCAGAGCTGGTGAGCCAGCTGAGAATATCCGGGATGCATTCGGACTGCAAGAGCAGGCGCAGGGACCCATCCTTCTTGGTCTTCTCCGCCCTCACGAGCACAGAGAGGTGGCGCTGGAAGGTGAGAGTCAGCTCTGCCATGTTCATCTTTGCTTCCACGTACTCCACTCCCCCTCCCTCTCCCCCTCCCTCTCCCCCACCTGCTTCCCCCCCTGCTCCTCCCGCTCCTCCTCCGCCCCTTCCCCCTGCTTCGCCTTCCACTCCCCCCTCCCCTTCTCTTTGAACCTCGATTCCTCCTCCATTTCTTCCTCCTCCTCCTCCATGGCCTCCCTCCGCGCCATCACCACCCAGCCTCTCGAATTTCTCCCCACCCCCAGTACCCTCGCTACCTGCCTGTGCCCATGACACCAGCCCATGCACCTTGATGCTCTCTGTCCTCGCTTGCCCCATCCCTCCATTCTCCATGCCTCCTCCCCCTCCTTCTCCTCCTCCTCCTCCTCCTGCTCCTGCTCCTCCTGCCCCTCCTCCTCCTGCTCCTCCTCCTCCACCTTGCAGCGCCCATGAGAGGGGGGACTCTCCTCCTCCTCCCTCCACGTCTGTTCCAGGACCCGACACACGAGACAGGGGGGACGCACCCGGTCCTCCTGCTGCTGCTGGGGCAAGCGGCGACATGCTAGGTCCTCCTGCTGCTGCTGGGGCAAGCGGCGACATGCCATGCAGCGCCAGCGACGGCGACGACGACACCCCGTGTATGGGCGACACACCGTGTATGGGCGACACACCAGCAGCACCAGCAGCACCAGAAGCACCATGCATGCCGTGCTGCACCGTGCTGGAAGGCAGAGCACTGTTTGCTCCTGAGAGTGGTGACATGCCATGAATGGGTGACATGCCATGAATGGGTGACATGCCATGAATGGGTGACATGCCATGAATGGGTGACATGCCATGAATGGGTGACATGCCATGAATGGGTGACATGCCAGAAAGCGGGGACATAGCGAGACCAGCCCCACCCGGAGTCCCTGTTGCAGGGGCGAATGGAGACATCCCAGGCGACGCAGCAGCAGCAGCAGCAGCGGCGGCGGCTGCAGAGGCGGCGTTGCGGCCGGAGGCGCTGCCGTCGAAGTCCCTGCTGCTGCCGTACGACGCCCAGCTCACATGCCTCTCTATCCTCGGCACCCATGGTGCTGCTGACAGCAGCTGCGCTGACGTTGCTGCTGCTGCTGCTCCTGCTCCCATTCTTCCTGCACCCCCTCCTGCTCCTGGTCCTCCTGCCCCTGCTCCCTCCCCTCCCACCCCACCAGGTGCCATCAGTAGCTGCCTTCCCTCCCCCCTTCTCTCTCCCCCTCCCTCTCCTCCTCCCTCCCCGCCTCCCTCTCCTCCTCCTCGCATCCCCCATGCTCTCTTCACAAAGCCGCACTCCTCCCCAGCAGCATGCCACGTCCCATGCTCCCGACAAAACGTCCCCTTTCTAGGAACCCTAGCAATCGTGATGTGCCCCGCACTAGCCCCCAGTAAAGCCTGACTCAAGACCGCGTATAACTGCGGCTTGTTCAGATGACTCACCCAATCCACTGGCGCCATTCCCGCTAGCTTACATGTCTGCACGCGGTCGCGAACTTTCAGCAGAAGTTTCCGCTCGTGCGCGCGCTTAGCTAAGAGAAGCGGGAAGACGACGTGCGGGCGGAACCACGCAGAAATCTCCTGCGGCGGGACTAAGTCATACGGGTCCATTTTGTCATACTTGGCTTTATTTCTCCGCCGCTCGCCCTTCCACACTCGGTTTAACAGCTGCCGGTTTACTATTTCTAAGTCCTTGTTGATTGCTTCGAAGACGAGGGAGAAGGCGGCGGGAGCGAGGATGAGGAGGGAGGAGAGGGCGAAGACAGCCTGGGAGAAGGCGGGGAGTTTGATGTAGTTGAAGCAGAGCAGGCCGAGGGTGAAGAAGAAGTGACCCAGCGAGAGGAAGGCTTGGAGATAGTCGAGGGAGAGTGAGGCGAGCGGCGACGACTTGTACTGTGAGCCGATCCGCAGTGCTTGGAGCAGGAGGATGATCACGATCTGGAAGGAAAGGGCAGTGGGACCGGCATGAGGATGAGGAAGGGTACTGTGGGCCGATCCGCAGTGCTTGGAGCAGGAGGATGATCACGATCTGGAAGGAAAGGGCAGTGGGACCGGCATGAGGATGAGGAAGGGTACTGTGGGCCGATCCGCAGTGCTTGGAGCAGGAGGATGATCACGATCTGGAAGGAAAGGGCAGTGGGACCGGCATGAGGATGAGGAAGGGTACTGTGGGCCGATCCGCAGTGCTTGGAGCAGGAGGATGATCACGATCTGGAAGGAAAGGGCAGTGGGACCGGCATGAGGATGAGGAAGGGTACTGTGGGCCGATCCGCAGTGCTTGGAGCAGGAGGATGATCACGATCTGGAAGGAAAGGGCAGTGGGACCGGCATGAGGATGAGGAAGGGTACTGTGGGCCGATCCGCAGTGCTTGGAGCAGGAGGATGATCACGATCTGGAAGGAAAGGGCAGTGGGACCGGCATGAGGATGAGGAAGGGTACTGTGGGCCGATCCGCAGTGCTTGGAGCAGGAGGATGATCACGATCTGGAAGGAAAGGGCAGTGGGACCGGCATGAGGATGAGGAAGGGTACTGTGGGCCGATCCGCAGTGCTTGGAGCAGGAGGATGATCACGATCTGGAAGGAAAGGGCAGTGGGACCGGCATGAGGATGAGGAAGGGTACTGTGGGCCGATCCGCAGTGCTTGGAGCAGGAGGATGATCACGATCTGGAAGGAAAGGGCAGTGGGACCGGCATGAGGATGAGGAAGGGTACTGTGGGCCGATCCGCAGTGCTTGGAGCAGGAGGATGATCACGATCTGGAAGGAAAGGGCAGTGGGACCGGCATGAGGATGAGGAAGGGTACTGTGGGCCGATCCGCAGTGCTTGGAGCAGGAGGATGATCACGATCTGGGGGAGGGGAGGGGAAGGAGAGCGAGATAGAGGGAAGCGATAATGTTCCGTAGTGTGGTTGTGAAACTGTATGAATTATGTGAAACCCATTGACACATTGTGCAACAACGATGCTCCGACACATGTGCATTCCCACCTGTCTGCCCCACCCACCCACCTGCCTGCCTGCCTGCCCTCCCGACATCAAACTTCTCACTGACCTGCGCGCGAGTGTCTTGCTGCAGGAACACAAGCACGAGCGCGTGAACCAGGCGCAGCACCATTGTCACCAGATGCCACCTGGAGTGATGGTCAGGGGTAGAGAGGCAGAGAGACACAGACGAGAGACCGTGATGGGGAGAAACGCGTTCACATGCGACAGATCGTTCTCTTAGCTTTGAGAATTCTCAAAACTAATCTCAAACAAAACAGATCGTTCTCTTAGCAGGCTTGCTGTGTTTCGAATCCAACAAACTTCAACGGTAGAGAGGCAGAGAGACACAGACAAGAGACCGTGATGGGGAGAGGAGAGACGCATAGGTGGAAGACACAGAGATAGAGAGAAGTTGGGAGAGACGAAAAGGAGGAAGGAATCTTGCTTCTTGTTTTCAACACGGCTAGAGAAGAGCATGTTTTGGGGGGCATCAGCACGCTGCTTGAGAATTCTCAGAAAACATACTCTGGAAGGAATATTGCTTAGTTGAGTTCATTGTTTTCAACACGGCTAGAGAAGTGGGTATCAGCATACCGCTAAGGCTGTGCACTTTAACTCCTAAGCCTCCTCCACTCACCCACAATAGTGGGTTGGGAAGGGTACCCATATTCGCGCTTGTCTCGCTCTGGCAAACCGAATCTCTGGCGAAAGAGGTTGGATGAGATGAGAGGGCATCGGAGGCGTGCCCTTCCCAACCCATTATTCCCTTACCCTCACCACAGTTGATCACAACAGCACCACCACTCACCACCAGAAGTCGCGCTTGTACCGCTCTGTGAGCCACCCGAATCTCTGGAGGAAGAGGTTGGAGGAGAGGGCGTCAGAGGCGTGCCCTTCCCAGCCCATTACTGCCTATACCCCACAGTCTCACCACACCACCACCACTTTGAATCCCCACTCACCACCAGAAGTCGCGCTTGTACCGCTCCGTGAGCCACCCGAACCTCTGGCGGAAGAGGTTGGAGGAGAGGGCGTCGGAGGCGTGTGCGTCGAGCAGCAGGACGGCGAAGAAGAGGGGCAGGCCGAGGAGGTAGACGATGGAGACGAGCAGCGACACGGTGAACATGCCGATGTGCGCCGATGAAAACCATGCGATCTGCGGCGCTGCTGCCATCAGCACCGCGTCCCCCACTGTCATGGACTGGGGGGAGGGAAGGCGGGGGAAGGAGGGAGGGGGGAAGAGGGGGGGAGAAAGGGGGAAAGAGGGAAGGGGATGGGAGAGGGAGCGGGAGAGGGCGTCTCAGGCGGGCGGGCAGCAGGAAGGCGAAGAAGAGGGGCAGGCCGAGGAGGTAGATGATGGAGACGAGCAGCGAGACGGTGAACATGCCGATGTGCGCCGATGAAAACCATGCTATCTGCGGCGCTGCTAACATCAGCACCGCGTCTCCCACTGTCATTGACTGGGGGTGGGGGGGAGGGAGGGGAGAAGGTGGGGAGGGTGAGAGAGAGGACGAGGGGGAGGGGGAGGAAGACGGTATGAGATGCGTGTGCATCATGCTGTTGCCATCAGCACTGTCATGAGATGGGCAAAAAGGGGGGAGGGGGTTGGGGGGGGTGGGGGGGAACCATCTCTGAAACACCAAAGCGGCAAGTGAAATCCATGTGATGTGATCAATGGCTTTTGAGGCGCCTCAAAAGTGAAATCCATGTGATGTGATCTGTCAGGGATAAACAGGTGGGCTGCGGAGGTAAGTGAAATCCATGTGATGTGATCAATCAATGGTAGTGCTACAATCACACCATTGATCAATGAGGTCAATCCGGTCAATGAGGTGCGTATAGTAGCGTGCTCTACGTGTCAAGTACACGGAGAGCACGCGGACCATCACGGACACATAGCAGAGGTCCAGCCACTTGAGAGCGACACATGCACGATGCAGTCAATGCAGTCAATGTGATTGTAGGTGGCATTACCTTGTAGACAGACAGCACGCGGACCATCACTGAGACGTAGCACAGGTCCAGCCACTTGAGCGACGCGTGCACGATCGAGTTCTCATACTCGTTATAAGCTCTCCTCCTTGTCACCGAGCGCATGAGGCGTGCCTGGGGGTTGGGCCCGCGGGTCCACGAGTAGATGTGCATCCACGTGGTGCCACCCCACCAGCGGTGCCGCGCGTACAGCAGCGCGTAAACGAAGAGGCCTATAACGGGGATGAAGATCCCCAGGTAGAACTTGGAGATGAATGTGTAGTTGAATATGCACTGCGGGCCGATGGCGTCCTGTTGACGGGTGGGGGGAGGGGGTGAGGCGGATGGAATGGAGTGTAAGGAGAGGGAAGCGGAGGTGGAGTTTGACGTCGAAGGAGGTGATTATGACTTGCAGCTGCACAGCTGATAAGCGCAACTGAGCCACACAGAACCGCACTGCACCACACGCCACAGCATCCCACCTCACCACACCGCACACCTCCTTACCGGGTCAAAAACCGCGAAGTTGCAGATCTTGACTAGCGTCTGCACCCATCGGTCGGGGTAGTTGAGGTTGAAAGAGGCGATCATGACAAGCAGCTGCAGGTCGTTCATAACCGCACCCAAACCACACACCACTGCACTGCGCCATACACAACCTCACCACACCACACTGCACACCTCTGAATTCCATCTCACCGGGTCAAATACTGCAAAGTTGTAGATTTTCACGAGAGTCTGCACCCAGCGGTCAGGGTAGTTGAGGTTGAAAGAGGCGATCATGACTAGCAGTTGGAGATCATTGAGAAAGATGTCCATGCTGCTGAATGTGTCGGCGAGAATGTTCATTCCCATCCACGCTAGGATGACCAGGATGAGCAGCAGTGGGAAAACCTGGGGGGGAGGCCGAAGGAAGGGAGGAAAGGGCAGGGGAGAAGAAGAAGTGAGCATGTGTATCTACCCAAGTGAGACTGTGTTTTCCTAGATAAAGCGCACACTTACCCTCGTGAGAGTGCTGCTGCACTGAGTGCACTGCTGCAGCACGAGGAAATAGCCGTCCACACACCCCGCACACGTGCTGTGGTTGGGGGTTGACAGGGGGACACGAATAGGAGAGAGAATGTGGGGGACAAGGTGAGAGAGACAGAGGGGGAGAAGCAGCATTGAGTGCACTGCTGCAACACGAGGAAGTAGCCGTCCATACACCCTGCACACGTGCTGTGGTTGGGGGGGTTGAGGGCAGGGGGAACAAGAAAGAGAGAGGTGTGTGGAGGTGTAAAGGAGAGAGCAAAAGGGAGGGGAGGGCAATGCGCACTAATGGCCGATATTCTCATCCCACAGTGCACCCAGGACCCCACCAGCAGCAGCTGCACTCACGGGATGGACTCGTCGTAGCCCTGCTGGCATTGAACCATGACTCCCTGGGCAGTGGTCTGCCCCCACTGCTCGTTGTACTCGTACCCCACACACCCATCCGCCACCAGACAGCTGTACGTGGTAGGGGTGTTGTTCAGCGACTGCAGGTCCAGCCAGCTCGTACCCCACTGTTGGTACTCCCTCAGCCCTACCCTCTGCCCCACACGCTCAGGCACTTACCTTACCCCCAGTGGAAACACTCACGGGATGGACTCGTCGTAGCCCTGCTGGCACTGCACCATGACTCCCTGGGCAGTGGTCTGCCCCCACTGCTCGTTGTACTCGTACCCCACACACCCATCCGCCACCAGACAGCTGTACGTCGTAGGGGTGTTATTCAGAGACTGCAGGTCCAGCCAGCTCTGGTACCCCACGGTGAGGATGCCGTAGGTGCAGTCGAGGTTGTCGTCGGTGCAGGGAGTGCATTGGGAGGGGGAGGTGGCCCGCGGGTAGAAGGAGAAGAACCCGTCCGGACAGGGCTGCATGGGCTGCCCCGCCTCACACCTGGGGAGCGCGGGTGACAAGGGGGGAGGCTTCTGATAACAATAATAACAATAACAATAATAACAATAACAATAATAACAATAATAACAATAATAACAATAATAACAATAACAACAACAATAATAATAACACACACACACACACACGCACGCACGCACGCACGCACGCACGCACGCACGCACGCACGCACGCACGCACGCACGCACGCACGCACGCACGCACGCACGCACGCACGCACGCACACACACACACACACACACACACACACACACACACACACACACACACAGAGAACAAAACACAACACACAAAATCAAACAAATAGGTCTTGCATTTGTCTTCAACTCACCAGTGGCCAACTAAGCAATCGTCGCAGGTGAGCGAGGAGGTATTGAGGAACTCGCCCGCAGAGCAGAAGGAGATGTTGAACGCACGGGTGACGGGGGGAAAGGCGTTCGACGGCGATGAAAGGGTGACTGTGACCTCGAACGACTGGGCTTCCTCTGGTGTCACCTGCATGGGATGATAAAGGCGGGAGGCGATTATAGGCAAGAGGGAGAGAGAGGGGGGAAGGCGTTCGACGGCGACGAAAGGGACACAGTGACCTCGAACGACTGGGCTTCCTCTGGTGTGACCTGGATGGGCGCATGAGGGGGGGAGGGGAAAGGTGAAGCACCAGCAAAAACGGTGATTACAGGCAATAGAAAGGTGAGAGAGGGCGGGAAGGGCGTTCGATGGCGATGAAAGGGACACAGTGACCTCGAACGACTGGGCTTCCTCTGGTGTGACCTAGATGGGATGGGAGCATGGTGGGAAAGGTAATTACAGGAAAGCGGGAGAGAGAGAGAGAGAGAGAGAGAGAGAGAGAGAGAGAGAGAGAGAGAGAGAGAGAGAGAGAGAGAGAGAGAGAGAGAGAGAGAGGACTTAGCACCCAGCCCTCTTCCTCTTCCCTCGACCCTCTTCCTCTGAGCCTATTTAAGGGCCCTTGGTGCCTTCTTCTCCTCATTATTTCGTGTGTTCTCAGTTTTCCGCGGCTCAGAGAGCGAGAGAGAGAGAGGACTTAGCACCCAGCCCTCTTCCTCTTCCCTCGGCCCTCTTCCTCTGAGCCTATTTAAGGGCCCTTGGTGCCTTCTTCTCCTCATTATTTCGTGTGTTCTCAGTTTTCCGCGGCTCAGAGAGCGAGAGAGAGAGAGGACTTAGCACCCAGCCCTCTTCCTCTTCCCTCGGCCCTCTTCCTCTGAGCCTATTTAAGGGCCCTTGGTGCCTTCTTCTCCTCATTATTTCGTGTGTTCTCAGTTTTCCGCGGCTCGCGCCGGCGGCCTTCGGCCGCCGCCGCTCGCCAGCGCGGCCTTCGGCCGCGCGTTTCAGAGGCAAGACACTCACACAAGGAGTTGATCAAGCAAGGCATTCCAAGAAGGAAGAAATCAAGCAACTGGAGAGCATCACCTTACGACCAAGATGCAATACTACACGAGACGCCGCTCTACTGCGTGTACAGGCCAGCCCCCTCCGCCTCAAGCATCGCGAGAAGACACCCCGCCATCGAGTGGAGAAGCTCCGCCGAGAAGCGAAGAGTGTCAACAGGGGTCCCGTGCTGAGCCGCAGCGTGAAGATCAAGAGCGAGGCGGGGGAAGGTACGGGCTAAGGGTGCTACCCCGGCGGGCGCATCCGACACGGGCGATAAAAGGGGGACAATCTCTCCTGCCCAAGCGACGCACTGTCCTTGGGGCCCTTGAGCAAAACTGCTCGGTGTGTGACGCATGGCCTCACACGCCGCCAGCTGCAGGCTCGCCAGCCCCTCAGCCGCCCCCGCCAAATTCCACATCCGGCACATGCTCAGCGTGGGATCTCTCCCCGCGCGGCTGGGGAGAGGCGCAGTCGGAACTCCGCGCGGCAGAAACATCGCCACCTGGCCCGGAGTCTGGCCAACCGTATTCTGAGGAGCAGGGTAACCTGGGGCTTGGCGGCGTCCGCGGAACGGCCCCCTCGACGCTGCAGCTGGCAGATACTCCCGCAAGGTCGGAGCGCGCAGCGGAGCGGCTTCAACCGCAACAGGTGCGGTGGGGGGCTCAGTGGTCACAGACACGTGAACGTGAGCCGCTGCCCCCGACGCTTCCACCTCCCGCACTGCATCCGCCACCATATTCCCTGCGCGGTCAGCAGTGGAGCCCTGGCCACGACTACCCCCGCCGCGCGCATAACCATTCCGCCGCCCACGACGCCCTCCAGACCCAGCCGACTGAGGACGGGGCGGGGACTGCTCACGGCGGCGAGAATCCCAACGGCCCGCATGAGCCCCGCGACCCCGACGCGGAGGCGACGGCCGCGGCGTCCGCTGCGGAGGGGACCCCTCCCGCGGGGAGCGCTTCTCCGGCGACCTCTCAGAAGAGCGGTAGCGGCGGTCGCGATGCTGAATTTCCCGCTGATATTCGTCCCATCGCCGCCGAGAGTCATGCGGCTCGGGGGCGCGACGCGCAGGGGACGCAGGTCGATATCCACGAGGCGGCGGGGACCAGCCCCGCTCCTGACGCGACGACTAGGGGAGCACGGGATTGCTCAGGAGACGCGTGACGATCCGCCCCGCGCAGCGGAAGAGAAAACCCGCGCTCAAGACGGCGCACGGGCGCCGACGCAGCAGGACGAGCCTGCACTTGGGAACGCGGAGGCGCATACTCGGGGTTTGGCTGCGCAACAAGCTGAGCGCTCTCCGCGGTTGCTTCCAAGGCGCGGTCGCGACCCACGGACCCCGCCATCACGACCGAGGCGTGAGCCGAGGACGCCAGAGCCCTGCTCGGCAGGGGAGGAGATCGGCGAAAACCGCACGCCTGTAATGCACAGCCCAATCGCGAGGAGTGGCACACCTGGCGGACGACGCGTAGGCGGGAGAGGACGCCGAGGAAGAGGAGCTGGGAGGAGAGGAGGCCGACGTACAGGCGCGAGCGGCTATGCGAGGACAGCAGAACGACTACTCCGGGAAGGCGCGGAAGGCGGCGAGGAAGCCGCTAGCAGGGGGGAGAGTGGTGAATCGGAGAATGACGAGAGCGACGAGGGTGACCCAGGTTTTAACCCCGAAACGGAGGGAGGTTTGGATGCTGAAGCTGATGAAGATGATGAGGAGCTCTTGGTTCGTGGGGCTGAGTTCCCGGACCAACAAATTGGAGCCGCGTCTGCAACACGGACCCCAGCCAGGAATCGGAATGTGGGGGGAAATCAGGCCTGGAGGGGAAATCGGACCGCGGCAGAAATCACATTTGACTCTGCCGCAACCAATAGGAACACCCCAACCCCAACTCCAACCCCACCAATGATCCACCCAGGCGACTTGGCGAAACGACTGGACCTTTTCGCGCAAGTCGCAGGCTGGGACCTGGACCCACTGCGCGACAGTCGCCAGCCCCCCCTCGCCCGTCACCCGCCAAAAGACCTTCGCGAATCATTCGCAGTCTGCCTACTCACCCCACTCCTCCACCTGGCAGCCAATCCCAACTCGACCGCAGGGTGGAGGTTACTGACTTTCCTCCCGCGAATCCTCCTACGCACCTCGTCAGCTCGCAAACCAGACTGGAACGCGATGATGAATCGCCTCCTCCGTTTCCGCCAGGGACTCTAGTCTGGCCTGTACGACGAGGCAGTTGAAGCAATTTCCCTCCCAGCCCAGCCACGTCACGTACCTGACACTCAGGGCATCCTTGCTAGAGCGGAGGGACTGGCCAAGCGTGGTAACCTGGCCAAGTCACTACAGTCCCTCCAAGCCACTCCGGTCTCACCTGCCTCCTCCGAAGTGTACGCGGCATTAGCAGCACGACACCCGCAAGCACTCCAGCCCTTACCAGAATGGATACGCACCTTCTCCCCCGAGAAAACCCCTTCGATAGAGCCGCGCGACTTCAGGCGCATCGTAGCCAAACTCCCAAACGGGGTGGGAGCAGGGCCCTCAGGCACTACCTTCGAGCACATACGCGATGCTGCACTCGGAAATCCAGACATCTTCGCCCATCTCCTCGCACTTACCAATACAGCTATAGCCGGGAAACTCAGCAGCGAGGCCACCGAGCTCCTGACAGCCTCACGGCTCTTGGCCTTCACAAAACCGCAGGGGGGGACCCGACCGATAGCCGTGGGCGAATGCCTTCTTCGCATGGTGGCCAAGGCAGCACTGTTCCTGACTGGGGCGGCGGCACGATCACACTTCGCGCCTCTACAGTTCGGGGTAGCAGTGGCTGGAGGGATTGAGGCGGCCATTCACACTGCGCGCACATACCTGGAGGAGAACCCGGGCTCGGTGGCGCTGCAGATTGACCTCGCCAACGCGTTTAACGCGGTGGAAAGGGCGGCGGTATTCGAGGGGCTCAAGAACGAGTCCCTTGAAAGCCTTCTGCCCCTTGTCCGCCTCTCCTACGGAACTCCCTCAGCACTCCACCTCGACCATGACTTCGGCGTGGCTCCACTGCTAAGTGCTAGAGGCGTCCGCCAGGGGGACCCTCTTGGCCCCTTGCTCTTTGCGGCAAGCATCCACCCACACCTTACCGCAACGGCACTAGCTCACCCAAGGGTCGTCATTCTCGCCTATGCAGACGACATAACGCTGCTAGGCGAAGCAGAAGCGTGCACGGCGGCATTTACACACCTCACTGCCGCACTGATCCACATAGGCCTCGAGCACAACCTTGGGAAGTGTGAGGCTTGGTCTGCAACCGCCATAGACCCCGCCTCTCTCCCTCCGAGCTTCCCCATTGCAGCAGACGGACTGTGGATATTAGGAAGCCCAATCGGGACCTCAGATGGCTGTGCCGCCAGAGTAAGGGAAAGGCTTGCAGCAGCAGCAGAACCCTTGCCGCTCCTGGCCCAAATGGACCCCCAATTGTGCCTGCTGCTACTCACCCGCTGCGTGGGCCGGCGAGCATCCTTCCTGGCCAGAACCACTCCGCTAGAGGCACTACCTGAGGATGAATGGGCGGCATGGGGGGAGCAACTGCTGCATACCTTCCTGGACGCGGCCCATATCATGCTGCCAAGGAGTGAGGCGGAACAGAGGAGAATATGGAGGCAAGCGGCGCTGGCCGTAACATTGGGGGGGCTTGGCATTACAAATCCTGCAGTTGAAGGGAGCTCTACGTACCTTGCGTCCGTGGTGGGCACCTCCCACTTACTGCACTCCCTGGCCGAGGCACTCCACCCAGATGTAGCAGCCCTCCTCCCCCTAATGGACCCCACCTCCGGCTCCGCGCACGCCCTGCCTGCACGCCTTGCAGCAGCGGAAGCAGCCCTCCCCCCCGAGGCTCTAGAAGCTCTCCAGGCCGGGAAAGCAGACCCACAGTGCCTCAAGCTGCAGCAGTCTCTAGCGCTGGCGGTTCACACACGCCGCTTCCTGAGGGTCATGAACGAGGCAAGGCGGATGCGCCCCAACCCCCTCTCTGGCCATGCCCAGAGAATGCAGTCGGTGCTCGGCCCTGGTGCGGGAGATTGGCTGCTGGCACTACCCATCATACCCTCGCTTAGGATGGGACCCTCCCAGCTCTCCTCCGCTGCTGCGTTCCGCCTGGGCCTCCCCCTACCTGTCCCCAGGCGCTGCGACTGCCGCTACCGCACCAAATTCCCTGATGACCGCCTCCCAAACCATCTCATGCGCTGCGAGAAAGGGGGGGGAAGGATTGCGACTCACCATGCGCTCAGGGACGAGATTGCTTTGATTGCGGCAGAGGCGGGATTCACGGTGCACAAAGAAACCTATGTATACTCTCTCGTTGAAAACCTGAAGGCGGACGTCGCAATCCGCCATCCCCGGACGGGAGAGGTTTGGATGTGCGACGTGACAGTGACGGACCCCGTTTCTCACCAAGATGAGAACTGCAATAGAGCACCAGGGTGGGCGGCTAGGGCAGCTGCGGACAAGAAGGAGCAGAAATACGCGCGCCGGAATGCGTGGGTGGGCTTTCATGCCCTAGCGGTAGAGACATATGGGTACCCCTCGCCCGGGGTGTTGGCATTCTTGCGGCAGTGCGCGGAGCTGGCGGCCAAGTTGCGATTCAACGCAGCCCCCAACTCCTACGAGGCCGCCAAGCTGCTGACGGAATACCGCCAGCGCTGGAGCGTGTGCCTCCAAAAAGCACAAGCCAACGCCCTCCGCTGCAAGACCAACGAGGCGATAGCAGCGGACAAGCTCGGCATGCAGGGCCCCTTTGCCCCCCTTAGCGAAGGCCAGCTCTACCAGCTAATAGAGCCCTCGTTCGACCTTTAGGGTCGGACGGAGGGGGCGGGAGGGAGTAAGGGAATGAGGTAGTTAGGTAGACCGAGTGTTATGTCTGGGTTTGCATGTGTTTGCATCTTCCCATGTATCTCCCATCAATCAATACCAGGACCATTCGAGAGAGAGAGAGAGAGAGAGAGAGAGAGAGAGAGAGAGAGAGAGAGAGAGAGAGAGAGAGAGAGAGAGAGAGAGAGAGAAGGCCTTAGCATCCAGCCCTCTCCCTCTTCCCTCTGCCCTCTCCCTCTGAGCCTATTTAAGGGGCCCTCTGTGCCTTCCCGGCCTCATTATTTTGTGGGTGTTTCATTTTCGGCGGAGAGAGAGCGAGAGAGAGAAGGCCTTAGCATCCAGCCCTCTCCCTCTTCCCTCTGCCCTCTCCCTCTGAGCCTATTTAAGGGGCCCTCTGTGCCTTCCCGGCCTCATTATTTCGTGGGTGTTTCATTTTCGGCGGCTCGCGCCGGTGGCCTTCGGCCGCGCGTTCCTGGTGGCAAGACACAAAACGTGGGTTCGGCTTATAATGGGCACACACACACACAAAGGCAAGGAGCTGGGCAAGAGCAAGAGGCGCGGCATGCAATTCTACACGCGGCGAAGGCCTACATCGTGTACAGCTCCGCCCCCTCCACCTCAAGCATCGAGCGCATGCACGCCGATACTGCAAGAAGGAGATGCGCCGACGACTGGAGCGTGTCCAAGGGGGTCCCGGCTTGAGCAGCCCCTACGTGGCGGGGGAGAGTACGGGCTAAGGGAGCTACCCCGGCGGGCGCATCCGACACGGGTGCCAACGGCGACTCGAGCGATTCTGCCAAAGTCACGCAGGATCCTTGGGACCTTGGACCGAAACTGCTCAGAAAGCTCCGCGTGGCCCCACACACCGCCAGCTGCAAGTTCGCCACCACCTCGCACGCCTGTGCTAGATTCAAAATCCGGCACATGGTCAGCATGGGGTCTCTCCCCGCGCGAGTGGGGGGAGGTGCAGTCAGCGCTTCGCGCGGAAACGCCGCTGGCCAGCCAGGAGTCCGGCCAACAGATAAGCGCGGCGCAGAGAAGCCGGGAACCTGACGGGGGGTGCGGAACTGAGCCCTTCCCTCACGCGCGGGCTGATATTCGCGCAGCGTCGGCGCGCGCAGAGGAGCAACCTGGCCGGGGTCCGCGGCGAAGGGGGGACCGTTGGTCACCTCAATGTGGACGTGAGTCGGCGCCCCACTCGCCCGGGCCTGCCTCACCACCTCCACGAACGTGTTCGCAGCGCGATCGAGGGCAGGATCCGGCTGGTTGCCATTCCCGCTTCGCCCTCCGCCTTTCCGCCAGCCCCGCCGTCCCCCGGAACCAGCCGAATGTGGACGCGGGGGGGACTGCTCGCGGCGACCCGAATCCCAGCGACGCCCAGGCGACCCCCTCCCCCGCGTCGCCGGAGATCGCCGCGGAGAGCGTTGCGCGGGGGATCGCGCTTGGGGTGAGCGCTGGCCTGCCTGACCACGAGGGGATGGGCGGCGAGGAGAGCGAGGACGTGCAGGGGAACGCTGATCCCCCTCCCCGCGCTGATAGTGCTCGCGATGCTCAGGAGAATGGCGGCGAGGAGAGGGCGGCCGAGGAGGCTGACGCGGAGGCGAGCACCCGCGCTCATGCCGCGGCTGACCGTCCGGGCGGTTCAACGCAACACGTGCAGGCGCCCACGAATACTCCGGCGAGGTGGGGCGCGCGGCAGGCCGATGGGGAAGTGTTTGCACCCGCTCGAAGCGGCGAACGGGCTCGCTTGCGGAGGGGTGCGCAAGGAGACGCGGACGAGGCCCGGCAGGCGCAGGCTGCGGCAGCGCGCTCTCCGCGGAACCCTCCAGCTCCGGATCCCGTCTCGCGGATGGGTCCATCACCCCTGATTGTACCGCAGCCGACGCCAGTGCGCCGACGAAGCGAAAACGAGACGGACGCGGCGCCGCAGACAGGGCGCGAGGGAGCTGCTGTTGGAAGAACAACGCGTGGAATCCGCGTAGGACGCGGCAGCCGCCGCGGACGACGAGGTAACGAGAGAGGACGAAGAGGTGGTGGAACACGAGGTTCAAGCAGGCGCCGCACAGGTGCAAGCGGCTACGCGAGAAATGCGGAAAGGCTGATGCGAAACGGCGCGGAGGGCGGCAAGGAACCGCTTAGCGAGGAGGCAGAGGAGGAAGTGGAGAATGAGGAAAGTGACGAGGGTGACCCTGCTTTTAACCCTGAAAGAGAGGGGATGTTGGGGGCAGAAGCCGAGGAGGACGAGGAGGAGTTGGAACTTTTGCTTCGAGGAGAGGAGCTCCCCAGCCCCAATGTCCGGGGCGAACCTGCCAACCGAACCACAGCTCAGAACCGAGCCGCGGGGGGAAATCACGCAAGGAGGGGAAATCGAGCCGCGACAGAGACTGGAGTTGACTCTGCGACAGCCAATGAGAATTCGGCAGCCCCAATTCCGACCCCCCCAATGCTCAAACCTGACGACCTGGCGAAAACTACAGACCTGTTCGCCCAGGTTGCCGACTGGGACACTGGCCCGCTGCGAGACAGTCGCCAACCCCCAGTCGCCCGCCACCCTCCAAAAGACCTTCGCGAGTCTTTCGCGATTTGCCTGCTGACACCGTTACTCCACCTGGCAGCAAACCCCGAGTCAGAACCTGGCTGGATGTTACTCACCTTCCTCCCTCGCTTACTTCTTCATTCCTCGTCAGCTCGTAAGCCTAACTGGAGCGCAATGATGAACAGGCTCCTGCGATTTCGCCAAGGGCTCTGGGCCGGCCTCTACGAAGAAGCTACCGGATCGATCTCCCTCCCCCCGCAGCCTCGCCATGCACCTGACACAACTTGAATTCTCGCCAGAGCGGAGGGCCTGGCGAAGCGTGGTAACCTCTCAAAATCGTTGCAATCCCTGCAAGCCACGCCCGTGTCGCCAGCCTCACCTGAAGTTCTCACGGCCCTCAGGACGAGACACCCACCTGCATCCCAACAACTACCTGATTGGCTGCACGCTACCACAGCGGAAAACCCTCCCGCTATCGAAGCCCGCGACTTCAGAAGGATCATCGCCAAGCTCCCCAATGGAGTGGGGGCGGGCCCCTCAGGAACTACCTTCGAACATCTCCGTGATGCAGCACTAGGAAACGCCGAAGTCTTCACCCACCTCCTAGCCCTCACCAACACGGCTCTGGCATGGAAGCTACCAGCCGTTGCAGGAGAGCTACTTACCGCCTCTCGTCTTTTGGCCTTCACGAAACCGCACGGTGGGACGAGGCCGATCGCGGTTGGGGAATGCCTACTTCGGATCATCGCCAAAGCCGCTCTGTTCCTGATCGCGCCCGCCGCTAGATCTCACTTCGTCCCCCTTCAGTTCGGCGTGGCGGTAGCGGGGGGCATTGAGGCCGCTATACACACGGCTAGGGTTGAGCAAAAAAACGAACAGGTATTTTTTTCTGGCTTAAAATGTTCGCCGAACAGTGTTCGATGTTCGCCCGAACACGTTCGTGTTCGGGCCGCTGCTGCAATTTGCCCGCGACGAACACGAACAGTGTTCGAGGTTTGCCCGAACACGCCTTCACAGGCGAACGGCGAACACCATTTTTTGCTCAAAGTGTTCGCCGAACCGAACACGTTCGTGTTCGCCACTTGCTCATCCCTACACACGGCACGTACTTACCTGGAAGTCCACCCCGCGGCAGTAGCGCTACAGATCGACCTCGCGAATGCGTTCAACGCGGTCGAGAGGAGAGCGATGTTCAAGGGGTTGAGGAACGAAGCGCTCGAGAGCCTCACCCCCCTGGTCCGCCTGTCTTACGGAGTCCCCTCCTCGCTCTTCCTCGACCATGAGTTCGCAGCGGCTCCACTGCAAAGCGCCAGGGGGGTCCGCCAAGGTGATCCCCTCGGCCCCCTTCTATTCGACGCCAGCATCCACCCCTGCCTCGTTGCGACGGCCGCGGCTCACCCGCAGGTGGTCCTACTCGCCTACGTCGCCGACATCACGCTGCTCGGTGATGCGTCTGCCTGCGTCGCGGCCTTCGACCACCTCACAGCCGCGCTCGCCTCCATGGGGCTCCTTCACAACCCTGCTAAGTGCGCGGCTTGGTCCGCCGCCCCAATTGACCCTGCCTTCGTCCCCCCCGGCATCACCATCTCGACCGAAGGGCTGCAAATCCTCGGCAGCCGCGTCGGCACAACACAGGGCTGCGCCGCGGCAGTCAGGGACAGGCTTACGGCAGCAGCTGAACCGCTCCCGTTGCTAGTGCAAATGGACCCGCAGCTCTGCCTCCTCCTCCTCACACGTTGCGTCAGCCGCCGCGCCTCCTTCCTGGCAAGGACAACCCCGCTGGAGGTCCTGCCCACAGCAGAATGGTCGGCATGGGGGGAGCGGCTGCTCCACGCGTTCCTAGAGGCCGCGCACATTGTCGCGCCAAGAAGCAACGCAGAAAGGAGGCGTATTTGGCGGCAGGCAGCGCTCCCCGTTACCTTGGGGGGTTTAGGCATTACGGACCCGGCCGTGGAAGGGAGTTACGCGTACCTCGCTTCGGTGGTCGGCGCGGCTCACCTCCTGCACTCGCTAGCCGACTCCCTACACCCCGCCATAGCCGCACTGCTCCCCCTTATGGACTCCGCCCCGGACTCCGCAGCAGCCCTGCCCTCGCGCCTAGCTGCAGCTGAAGCGGCCCTGCCCCCTGATGGCCTGGAGGCCCTTCAGGCTGGTAAGAGCGACCCCAAGGGACTGAAGCTCCAGCAGTCCCTGGCCCTGGCGGTCCACACCCGCCGCTACCTCCGAGTGCTGAACACGGCGCGGCATATGCGCCCAAACCCCCTCTCAGGGCATGCTCAGCGGATGCAGTCCCTGCTGGGCCTGGGAGCAGGGGACTGGCTGCTAGCAATCCCTCTCTCTTGTGCGCTGAGGCTGGGCCCCTCCCAACACTCTACTGCTTCCTCCTTCCGCCTAGGCCTCCCCCTCCTTGTCCCAAGGCGGTGCGACTGCCGATACCGCACCACCTTTCCTGATGACCGCCTCCCGAATCACCTTATGCGCTGCGAGAAGGGGAAAGGGAGGACTGCCACACACCATGCTCTCAGGGATGAAATCGCAAGGATAGGGGCGGAAGCAGGCTTCACGGTTCACAAGGAGACCTATGCCTACTCTCTGGTTGAAAACCTTAAAGCGGATGTCTCCATCCGCCATCCCCTGACCGGAGAAGTGTGGCTTTGTGACGTGACCGTGATCGACCCAGTGTCCTTCCAGGACGAGAACTGCAACCGCGCACCTGGTTGGGCGGCTAGGGCGGCAGCTGCTCGGAAGGAGGAGAAATATGCGGGACGGAATGCGTGGGTGGGGTTCCACGCCTTGGCCGTGGAGACCTACGGCTACCCGTCGCCGGGGGTACTGGCTTACCTGCGGCAGTGCGCGGAGCTGGCTGCGAAGCTCCGCTACAACGCGGCCCCTACCTCTTGAGAGGCTGCCAAGCTGCTGACGGAGTACCGCCAGCGCTGGAGCGTGTGCCTCCAGAGGGCACAGGCAAATGCCCTCCGCACCAAGACCAACGAGGCCCTGGAGGCGGACGAGCTCAGCCTGCAAGGGCCGTGGGCCCCTCTCAACGAGGGGCAGCTGCACCAGCTGATCGAGCCCCCGTCCGACCACTAGGGTCGGACAGTGGGGGGAGGGGAGGGGAGTAGGTGATGGTTGATAGGTCTGCTTGTTTGCCTAGTTTGCATGTGTCTGCTTCAAACCTTTGTACCACCCTTCAGCTAATACACGAGCCATTCGAGAGAGAGAGAGAGAGATGGATTGCACTGCATGTTTTTGTACCCCTGCTGAATCAATACAAAGGACCGTTTGAGAGAGATGGAGACAGATTACCGCCAGCGCTGGAGCATGTGCCTCCAGCGGGCGCAGGCCAATGCCCTCCGCACCAAGAGCAACGAGGCCTTGGCGGCGGACGAGCTCGGCTTTCGGGGCCCCATCATCCCTCTTAGTGAGGGACAGCTGCACCAGCTGATTGAGCCCCCGTTCTACCAGTAGGGCCGGACAGAGGGGGGGAGGCGGGAGTAGGTAGGGGACGTGGGGTAGATAGGATACCGGTTTGCGTGTTTGTTTAGCTTGTGGGTTTGCATCTTCCACTACACCACCTCATAAGTAATGCAAGGACCATTCGAGAGGGAGGGAGGGATAGGCGTCAGTGGGCGATGAAAGGGTCACAGTGACCTCGAACGACTGGGCTTCCTCTGGTGTGACCTGGATGGGCGCATGAGGAGGGAGGCGACCGCAAGAGAGAAGGGGAGGCGATCGTAAAAGAGAGATTGCAAGGGTCACTGTGACCTCGAACGAGTGGGCTTCCTCGAACGATGCGGCTGCCAGGCGAGACAGACAGACAACCAGCGACGACTAGCGACGCCCTCAACCAGAGCGCGGCAAGGCTCAGGAGGACAGCTGTCTCGTTTTGAGTCGACTCAAAAATCGACGCCCTCAACCAGAGCGCGGTGCGGCTCAGGAAGACAGCTGTCTCGATTGACACCCGCATCAGGCGAGATAGACAGACAGACAGCCAGCGACTTTGCCCACCCACCCACCTGGATGCCAATCGAAGGAATGGTGATGACGCCATTGGCGGCAGTGCCTCTCAGGTCGCCACTGATGCGACTATCCGGCGACACAGCAGCCAGAGACGTGCTGTCCTGCGCCACGCTCTGGTTGAGGGCATCCAAGACAAGCACCTGCAGCCCCTCTATGCGCGCCCCCACTGCTGCCCGCACCACAAAGGTTTCGCCCCTTGCATTCACCATGCTGGAGTCCTCCTCCCTGCCCGGCCACCTGAGGGGAATGTTGGGGGGGTATTAGAGGTATGGTTGTATGCCTGAGCCCCTCACTCTCCCTCACACCACTCCCTCTCTCTCCCTCACACCAATCTCTCACTCTCCCTCACACTAATCTCTCACTCTCCCTCACCCCACTCCCTCACTCTCCCTCACATTACTCCCTCACTCTCACTCACACCACTCCCTCACTCTTCCTCACACCACTCCCTCACTCTCCCTCACACCACTCCCTCACTCTCCCTCACACCCCATTCTCACTCACTTAATGGAGAAGCCAGCGGGCATGGTGCCTTGGGTGTCGCCCGCCCCTCGGAACGCACACCCCTCACAGAGCGAGCGGAGGTGGCGGTGGGTGGTGGCCTCAAAGAAGGCCGCTGCCTGCCGGTACAGCGCGCTGTTGCCCTCAAAGCTCAGCTGCTTCACCACCAGCCGCCCCTCACCTTGCTGCCTCAGCCCCAGCCCTTGCTGCTGCTGCTGCTGCTGCTGCCCCTGTCCCTGCCCCTGCTGCCCCTGCTGCTGTAACTGCCGGCCTCCACCTGAATTTCCACCTGAGCCACCTGCTCCGCCAGAGCCTGCTGCCCCTGTTTTTTCTGCTGCTTCTGAGGCACCCAGGGGGAACCGCAGCACGTACACCCCTGCACCGCCCAGCACCGCATAGTTCCCACTGAACTCGCTCCCTCCCACCCCCCCTGACGCTTGCTCTAGCACAGCCACCCCTCCTCCCGCCACACTCGCGTTGTTCCCCTTAAAAGCACATCCCGATACATTCACCACTGCAGTCCCTACAAACGCCGCTCCTGCTCCCACCTGCGCAGAATTCCCACTGAACACCGAACCTGAGGTTAGGTCCAGCCGAGCCTGCCCGTCCACTGCCAAGCCTCCGCCCAGCTCCGCCACGTTCCCCTCGAACCTGCTCCCCTCCACCACCGCAGCAACCCCGTCGGCCAATCGCAGCGCGCCACCTGTCCCTGCTGGGTTCCTATTCCTAGAGAAGGTACACCTGGTGAAGCGTCCATCTGCCAGCCCCTGCAGCAGCACCGCCGACACAGCATTCCCAGAAAACGCCGAATCAACCGCCGTGACATTCGCCTCGGCTTCGGCCGCGATCGCCCCGCCATGCAGCGCGTAGTTCCCGGTAAAAGAACTAATCGATACAGTCACATCCGATACATGCGTCGCGTACACCACGCCCCCCATATAGTCCGCGCGGTTACCGGAGAACACTGTGTTGTTTTCTGCCTGGAGCCTTGCTTCCATCTCCACCCACACGGCGCCTCCCCAGGGGGCAGAGTTTTGAGAGACGTTGCAGGCGAGCAGAGAGAGAGTGGCCGCGCCGCTGATCCGGGCAGCTCCTCCTTCGCTGGTGGCCCGGTTGAGGTTGAGGCGGGAGGAGAAGAGGCGGGCTGTGGCGTTGGCTAGGAGGGAGAGGCAACCCCCTCCAGTGGATGCTCTGTGGGGGGGAAGGAGAGAGGAGGGAGGCGGGACGTAGGGTGGGGACAAAAAGGAGTCGTGTCATACAGTCACAATCCGCCATAGTCACTGAAAACTCCTACACTAGAACGCCCCCTCCCGTGCCAGCACTCTCGTTCTCCTCGATTCGACTCCCCTCCATGCGCATTCCCACACTCAGCCCCGCTTGTCCCCCTTGTTCACCACCCACCCACCCACACACACACACACACACACACACACACACACACACTCTCTCTCTCTCCCAACCCCACACCTGTTCCCTACGCATACACTCTTCTCCCCCTCACCTGTTGTTCACACAGTCACAGTTCGTCATAGTCACTTTGGAAAACTCTTGTATGAGCATCCCCCCTCCCATGCCAGCACTCTCATTCTCCTCGATTCGACTCCCCTCCACGCGCATGCCCACGCTCAGCCCCGAGTAGATAGCACCTCCCCCCAGCGCCGCCCGGTTGCCCTGGAAGGTGCATCTGGTGAAGGTCACTGTGGCAGGCTTGCCTTCAGATTCCGCCCCGTAGGCTGTGAGAGGGAAGTGGGTTGATAGAGGGCAGGGGGGATGAGGCAGGCAGGCTTGCAAGGCAAGGCAGGGTGTGCAATACCTGTGTCACACACAGGTATTGCATATTGCACTCCAGTGAATGTGCTCCAGTGAATGTGAAACGCATCTCCTCCGTGCTCTCGCTGTACATGGCACGCGGGCACACAAGCCCCAGGGCTGTGTGGGCATGTGTGCCCAGCCCAGCCCAGCCCGCTCCCTGCTCACCCCACCAACCACCACACCACCCTTGCTTGCCACCACAGCCCCTACCTGTGACGGCTCCGCCCTGCAGGCCAGCCTCGTTCCCCTGAAAGACCACGTCAGTGAAACGCATCTCCGTGCCCTCGCTGCACATGGCACGGGGGGCACATACGCCAAACCCTGTCCATGATCGCGTTACCTACCACAACCCTTCCCTGCCACAGCCCCTACCTGTGACAGCCCCGCCCTGCAGGCCAGCCTCGTTCCCCTGAAAGACCACGTCAGTGAAACGCATCTCCGTGCTCTCGCTGTAGACAGCACCTCCCTGAGCTGAGGGGCACATACCCCAACCCTGTTTCTGCTGCTCACTGCACCCGCCCACCACCCCTACCTACCACACCCACCTGTGACAGCCCCGCCTTGTAAGCCAGCCTCGTTCCCCTGGAAGAGCACGTCAGTGAAACGCATCTCCGTGCTCTCGCTGTAGACAGCACCTCCCCGGGATAGCCCCGCCGTGTTGCCCTCAAAACGGCTGCCGGTTATGTCCACTGGTGACAAGCCCTGCGGAGGGGGGAGGAAGAGCAACGGGCACAGGAGGAAAAGCGGAGGAGTGGGAATGGGGGAGATGACAGGTGATGGCATGGAATGGTAGGGAGCACACGTCCGCCGTGTTGCCCTCAAACCGGCTGCCGGTTATGTCCACAGGTGACATGCCCTGAGGAGGGGGAAGGAAGAGGAGGAGAGGGGGGGGAGATGAGAAAAGAGACGGGAGTGGAGAGGTGAAGGGTATGGGACGTTTTCTAACGAGACTGATTCATTTTATGTCCCCCGTTTCTCTATTCAAGCAAGCGAGGAGGTCGAGCTTTGTGCAGCAGCAGTGGTGCGGTGCGCCCCCAGACCAGTGGCATGGCGTATTGGAGTGGTACTGGGTAGATGCTGTCTTCACTCATGGTTAGGAAGGTGCATTTTGAGGCGCCTCAAAATTTTGAGGCGCCTTTGGAGTGGTACTGGGTAGATGCTGTCTTCACTCATGGTTAGGAAGGGCAGCAGTGCTAGGAAATGCTTTAGCAAAATCAAACCCCTAAGAGAATTCTGAACGAAAATGCTGCATTCACTCAAAGAGAACATCACCAACTGCAGAGTGGAGAGGAGTGGAGAGGAGTGGAGACGTAAGGAGGGGAATGGACTCATACCGGGTAGACGTTGATTGCACCGCCCTGGGCGAGTAACACGGAGTTGTTGGAGAAGGAGCAGTTGGTGACGGAGAGCGGGCCGTACGGCATGAAGTGCAGCGCCCCCGCCTGACTGGCCGCCCTGTTGCCGTGGAAGGTGCAGTTGGTTAGAGCAGTGGTGGCTCGGGAAACCACTGGGGCCAGGCGGGAGAAGGCATGGGAGTTGTGAGGGGGGTTTGTGAGGAGAAGTGAGGAGCTTGTGAGTTGCCTCAAAGGAAGTGCAGCGCCCCCGCCTGGCTGGCCGCCCTGTTGCCATGGAAGGTGCAGTTGGTGAGGGCGGTGGTGGCTCGAGAAACCACTGGGAGGGAGATGGGGGGGAGAGAAGAGGTGGATTTGTGAGGGGATTCAAAGGCATCGCCAAGCTCCTGCCTGAATGGCCGCCCTGTTGCCGTGGAAGGTGCAGTTGGTGAGGGCGGTGGTGGCTCGGGAAACCACTGGGAGGGAGGGGGAAAACGATAGGGGTGGGGGAGTAAGGTGGGGTGGGGGAGTAAGGTGGGGTGGGGTGTGAAGAAGAGAGATTGCGCCATCCTGATTGTGTGTGTGTGCACTCTGTGTGTGAAGAAGAGAGATTGCGCTATCGTGATTGTGTGTGTGTGCACTCTGTGTGTGAAGAAGAGAGATTGCGCTATCGTGATTGTGTGTGTGTGCACTCTGTGTGTGAAGAAGAGAGATTGCGCTATCGTGATTGTGTGTGTGTGCACTCTGTGTGTGAAGAAGAGAGATTGCGCTATCGTGATTGTGTGTGTGTGCACTCTGTGTGTGAAGAAGAGAGATTGCGCTATCGTGATTGTGTGTGTGTGCACTCTGTGTGTGAAGAAGAGAGATTGCGCTATCGTGATTGTGTGTGTGTGCACTCTGTGTGTGAAGAAGAGAGATTGCGCTATCGTGATTGTGTGTGTGTGCACTCTGTGTGTGAAGAAGAGAGATTGCGCTATCGTGATTGTGTGTGTGTGCACTCTGTGTGTGAAGAAGAGAGATTGCGCTATCGTGATTGTGTGTGTGTGCACTCTGTGTGTGAAGAAGAGGGATTGCGCTATCGTGATTGTGTGTGTGTGCACTCTGTGTGTGAAGAAGAGAGATTGCGCTATCGTGATTGTGTGTGCACTCTGTGTGTGAAGAAGGTGAAGGGATTGTGAGTGTGTGCATGCGCGACAAAGAGAGAGGCACAGTGTGTGTGCAGAGCAGTGCAGTGCAGAGGGGTGCAGTGCAGTGCAGTGCGGTGCGGTGCGACTGACTCACTGGCTCCACCAATCTTGGAATTCCCGTGGTCGCCGTTCTCTATAAAGGAGCAATTCGTTACAGTCACGTTGCCCGCATCCAGATACACAGCAGCCCCCTGCCCAGCCTGTTGGGGTGAGGTGAGGATGGGGCGATAGGAAAGGAGGAGCACAGTGTGCAGAGAGGGGACGGCAGGGGTTAGGAGGAAAGACGTTGCCCGTGTCCAGATACACTGCTGCCCCCTGCCCCGCCTGTTGGGGTGAGGTGAGGGGAAGGCAGGGGTGATGGGGCGATGGGGAAAGGAACACAGGGTGCAGAGAGCAAGGCAGGGGTGATGGGGCGATGGGGAAAGGAACACAGGGTGCAGAGAGCAAGGCAGGGGTGATGGGGCGATGGGGAAAGGAACACAGGATGCAGAGAGCAAGGCAGGGGTGATGGGGCGATGGGGAAAGGAACACAGGGTGCAGAGAGCAAGGCTGGGGTGATGGGGCGATGGGGAAAGGAACACAGGGTGCAGAGAGCAAGGCAGGGGTGATGGGGCGATGGGGAAAGGAACACAGGGTGCAGAGAGCAAGGCAGGGGTGATGGGGCGATGGGGAAAGGAACACAGGGTGCAGAGAGCAAGGCAGGGGTGATGGGGCGATGGGGAAAGGAACACAGGGTGCAGAGAGCAAGGCAGGGGTGATGGGGCGATGGGGAAAGGAACACAGGGTGCAGAGAGCAAGGCAGGGGTGATGGGGCGATGGGGAAAGGAACACAGGGTGCAGAGAGCAAGGCAGGGGTGATGGGGCGATGGGGAAAGGAACACAGGGTGCAGAGAGCAAGGCAGGGGTGATGGGGCGATAGGGGTTAGTAAGAAACATAGTGCGGGCAGATAGGGGTTAGTAAGAAACATAGTGCGGGCAGATAGGGGTTAGTAAGAAACATAGTGCGGGCAGATAGGGGTTAGTAAGAAACATAGTGCGGGCAGATAGGGGTTAGTAAGAAACATAGTGCGGGCAGATAGGGGTTAGTAAGAAACATAGTGCGGGCAGATAGGGGTTGGGCATCCACACGCCTGGCGTGTGGAGCACGCAGGGCAGAGGCCTGCTCAGGTGAGGATGCGCCCAAGGGGAAAGAAGATGCTCATAAATACCTTCTAGGTTCCTCAAATATTGTTTTGAGACGTCTCAAAACAACACTTTTATCACGTGGCCGAAGGGGAAAGAAGATGCTTATAAGTACCTTCTAGGTTCCTCAAATATTGTTTTGAGACGTCTCAAAACAACACTTTTATCACGTGGCCAAAGGGGAAAGAAGATGCTTATAAGTACCTTCTAGGTTCCTCAAATATTGATTTGAGACGTCTCAAAACAACACTTTTATCACGTGGCCGAAGGGGGAAGAAGATGCTCATAAATACCTTTCAGGCGCCTCAAAAATCCACCCACTTACTGCATTGATTTTGAAGATTGAGTCGGGGATGGTGATGGGGAAGAGGGGGGGTCCATGAACGCGAACACCTTCAGCGCACCCACCCACCCCCCCCCACACACACACGTGCACTCACCGAGTTGTTCTTGAAAACCGAGTCGGAGATGGTGATGGGGAAGAGGGGGGGTCCATGAACGCGAACACCTTCAGCGCACCCACCCACACACACATGCGCACCTACCGTGTTGTTCTTAAACGTGGAATCAGCGATGGTGATGGGGAACAAGGGGTCCATGAAGGCAAACACCATCAGCGCTGCTCCCTGCGACAGGTACGTGGCGGAGGCGCTGCCGTCGCCAGCAGGGGTGGGCGAGGCGGCGTTGCTTTGGAAGAGGCAGGCGCGCACTGTGAGGGCCGCACCGTACGACACGACTGCTGCTGCGAAGGATGGCACGTTTGTGACCACATTGTTTATAAATCGGCAGTCGAGAATCTGGTGTTGTGGGGAGAAGAGTAAGATGGAAGGGAGTGGGCGGGAAGGGGGAGAGCACTGTCAGGGCTGCACCGTACGACACCACTGCTGCTGCGAAGGATGGCACGTTTGTGACCACATTGTTTATAACTTGGCAGTCGAGAATCTGGAGCGAGGGGAGTGGGGGGGGGGAGGAGTACGGGGGGCAGGGGGAAGGGGAGCAGAAGGGGAAGGGGAAGGGGAGTGGGAGCATGTGGAGGCAAGGGTTAGTGCTCTGCCATCGCGAGCAGGGGTGGGGGACGAGAGGTGTTGAAGAGAAGGTGTTCAAGAGAAGTGGTGATACCCCCCCCCCCCCCCCCCCACACACACACACACACACCTCCGTGACTCCCGGCAGCATAATAAGTTCCAGACACCCCCCCTGCATGAACGCCTGGTTCTCCTCAAACACACTCCCCGTGACTGTCAGCGGCGCCACGGCCGATTGCACGCTGATCGCCCCGCCAGTCAAAGTCGAGGCGCAGCGGCGGAAGGAGGAGTCCCGGACGTGCATGTGCAGGGAGGTGTTGAACAGGATTGCGCCTCCCGAGGGGAAGACTGAGACGTCGGCGCCCTGATCGGCGGTGCAGGCAGTGAAGGTGGTGTTGGCGATGGTGGTTGAGGAGTTGAACTCGTTGATTGCCCCACCTGCCATGGCCTGTGGTGGTGGAAGGAGAGGGCGGAGAGGGGGGAGAAGGGGGAGAAGGGGGAGAAGGGGGAACAAGGAGTTGAAAGAAGGAGGGGAGGAAGTGAGAGTCCCTTGGAGAATTCTCAAAAGTCACACAGAAGGAGGGGAGGAAGTGGGAGTCCCTTCGAGAATTCTCTAAAGTCACACAGAAGGAGGGGAGGAAGTGGGAGTCCCGGATGTGCATGTGCAGGGAGTGTTGAAGAGGATTGCTCCTCCTGAGGGGAACACTGAGAAGTCTTTCCCCCCTCTTCTCCCCTCTTCCCCCCCTTCACCCACCCCTCGCCTTGCACACTGTGAAGCTCGGGTCTTCAATGGTCAGGTTGGCAGCAGAGAAAGAAGCGATGCGCCCGCCGTATCCCCCTGCCACGCCCTCCTCCCCCTTTCAACCCCCCCTCAACCCCCCCCTCACCCACCCCTCGCCTTGCACCCTGTGAAGCTCGAGTCTTAAATGGTCAGGTTGGCAGCAGAGAAAGGAGCGATGCACCCACCATACCCCCTGCCACGCCTTCCTCCCTCTCCGTGTAACACCCTTCAAAGCTCACAACTCTCACCTTGCACCCAGTGAAGCTCGAGTCTTCAACCGTCAGATTGGCAGCAGAGAAAGAAGCGATGCACTGCACCCGCCATACCCCCCTGCCACGCCCTCCCCTCCCCCTCACCCACCCCTCACCTTGCACCCAGTGAAGCTCGAGTCTTCAACCGTCAGATTGGCAGCAGAGAAAGACGCGATGCACCCGCCATATCCCCCTGCCACGCCCTCCTCCCTCTCTGTGTAACACCCTTCGAACATCGCCCCTTTCAGAGACACTCTCGCCCCTGCTCCCACGTACAATCCCCCGCCAACGCCCCCACCCCGCACCCTGCTGCTGCTGATGGTCACAGCTGTAGCAACGAGAGTTGTAGCTGTAGCAGCTTCTAGAACAGCTACAGCACCACCACTGGGACCTGTTGACGTGCAGTTGGAGAAGGACACGTGGCTGTATGGGATTGGAGGAAAGGGCACGGGAGACAAGAGGCGAGGAGAAGGGACGAGGAGGGGAGAGGAGAGGAAAGGAGAGGAGAGGAAAGGAGAGGAGAGGAAAGGAGAGGAGAGGAGAGGAGAGGAGAGGAGAGGAGAGGAGAGGAGAGGAGAGGAAGGGAGATGGAAGTGGAGGAAAGAAATTAGGCTGATGGCTCAGACATTGAATCGAAGGAGGTTTGGGACCTTCGCCTCTAAGTGGGAATATACGCGTATAGCGTATATACACGTGTCGTATATACGCTAGCGTATATACGCTATCCGCTTAGGGGTCCGGTTTGCAGATACGCTTTTTCGGGCAGAGGAAAAACTTTCCGGGCAGGTGAAAAAAGTACTCCCTCTTCTTATTAAGGCTTGCCCTAGCATAATCCTGAATCCGAATGACTAGTACAATGGGAGGTGGAGTAGACCTAATAGCTTGAAAGCGAAGTAGCGTGAACTCTGGTGAAAGCGGGAACGAAATGACGAGTTAGGGTTAGCCAAAAGGGTTGGCTGGTAAGTACCGTGAGATTTGTTGGGGGGTTAAATTTGACAGGTTGGTGTTTGTAGATAAAGTGGGGTTCAATGCGGTAGAAGGGATGGATTTCAATCCCTATATGGATCTCAAATTCAAGATTTGCCAGACGACTTCGAAGTCAGATCCCCGTTTGCCTAGACCGCGGATTTGAATTTCGACTATGGCGAAATGCTCACCTAGGAATTTTTTTTTGCGATTTTTTTCGGGCAGCCCTAAAAATTTTCTGATAGCGTATAGCGTATTCGCTAGCGTATAGCGAATAGCGGATAGCGTATGTACGCTAGCGTACATACGCTATACGCTTAAGGTGTTAAGCGTATATTCCCACTAAGCTTCGCCTTACCTTGCCTTATCTTCCCTTACAGTACCGCATTACAGACCTGAGCACTGTACGGTACCCATCCAGCAGCAAGCAGCACGCACTCCCCTGAACGTGGGTACGTGCGTGCTGCAGCAGCAAGCAGCACGCACTCCCCGTTGTCACTCCATTAAGCACACTCAGGTCTTCCACCTTCAAATCTTGCTGCTGTGCTGCTACCCACACCGCCTCCCACCACTGCCACTCACCTGAGCAGCACCGCATAGCACCGCACTACGCACCTGAGCACCGCACGGTACCCATCCGGAAGCAGGCGGCCTCCACTCCCCGTTGTCACTCCACTCAGGTGCTCCACCTTCAGCTGCGGTTGCTGTGCTGCTACCCACACCACCTCCCCCTGCTTCCAGCCACTCACCTAAGAAGCACCATACAGCACCACAATACATACCTGAGCACCGCACGGTACCCATCCAGCATCAGGCAGCCGCCACTCCCAGTCGTCACTCCATTAACCACACTCAGATACTCCACCACCAACACTGGCTGCTGCTGCCCACACCAGGTTTTAGGAGCAGCACCAGCAGCAGCAGCAGTAGCAGCAGCAGTAGGGGTGCTTTGGCATGAGGCAACAAGGCAAGGGCCACCGTTACAGTCAAGCACGGCAGGAGGGGAAGGGAGGCCAGGGCCAAGGATGGTGAGGGCGAGGAGGGGAGGGAGGAGGATGGGGGCGGATGGAGGGGGAGCGGTGCGGGTATATGTTCCTGAAGCGAGTGTGATTGTAGCGTTGTCAGATGCTCTGAAAAAAGGTGGGAGTTCAGCGGGAGAAAGGGAGGGAGGAAGGAAGGGGTGGGGAAGGGGGGGGTGCAGGAAAGGTGGGAGAGAGCGGCAAAAGTAGGCAGGACATAAAATCTCCGTTGCTAACATTTTTTAGGCGCCTCAAAAGGTGGGGAAGGGGGGGGTGCGGGAAAGGTGGGTGAGAGTGGCAACAGTAGGCAGGACATAAAATCTCCATTACATAAAATCTCCATAACAGCAAACATAGGGGCGCAAGCATGAGAAGCGGGGGGTTGGGAAGGGCAATCGGAGTGGCAGTGAAAGGGCTCTTAAGCCAATGAGAACCCTTCCCTATGAGAGCCCTTCCCTTTGAGAACCCTTCCCTTTGAGAACCCTTCCCTTCTGTATGGCTTTTGGCAGCAATTTTCATCTGCTCGCTATCGAGGAGAAGTATGAGAATCCAAAGATCACGGATGTCAACCTTTGAACGCGCCACTGAAGTTCCTTTAGAATCGACACAACGAACAAGGGAGGGAATTACCTCTAAACACCGCATTGAAGTGACCGAAAGCCACATGTACAAAGTGTAGTTTTGAGACGTCTCAGACCTACACTTTCTACACGTGAATTACCTCTGAACGCCCCATTGAAGTGACCGACAGGGAAACGGAACAAATGTGCTAAAAGTGCTGTGATTGTGATTGTTGACTTTTGAGCCGACTCAAAAGTGCTGTGATTGTTGACTTTTGAGCCGACTCAAAAGTGCTGTGATTGTTTCGACGAGGTAGCTGGAAATGCAATGGGCCTGAAAACCCCACTGCCCAGCTACAAAACGCAAGGAGGCACCAATGCATGTGTGCATCAGGACATTGGATGGTGGGTGGGTGGGGTGCGGTGCGGTGCGGTGGTGAGTGGTGAGTGGTGAAGACTGTTGGGACCAACCTTGCTACCGGAGTGCTTTTACAAAAGCATTATGCAACGTTTTTTTTTTTTTTTTGGGGGGGGGGGGGGGACTTCTAAAAAACGACTTGGACGGTGGAACGGTAAAGGTTAACGGGACACACCTTGCTAGAGCTGCTTCCAGTGAGCCTGCAGACGGTCGACAAGGGAGACGGAGATGAAGTGTGGGGAAGACAAGAACAGGGAGACGGAATGAAGCGTGGGGAAGACAAGAACAGGGAGACGGAATGAAGTGTGGGGAAGACAAGAACAGGGAGACGGAGATGAAGTGTGGGGAAGACAAGAACAGGGAGACGGAGATGAAGTGTGGGGAAGACAAGAACAGGGAGACGGAGATGAAGTGTGGGGAAGACAAGAACAGGGAGACGGAGATGAAGTGTGGGGAAGACAAGAGCAGGGAGACGGAGATGAAGTGTGGGGAAGATAAGAACAGGGAGACGGAGATGAAGTGTGGGGAAGACAAGAACAGGGAGACGGAGATGAAGTGTGGGGAAGACAAGAACAGGGAGACGGAGATGAAGTGTGGGGAAGACAAGAACAAGAGGGCATGCCACAACAAGAGGGCATGCCACAACAAGAGGGCATAAGGCACTCACAAATGGGGAGAGGACAGGGATTGGCTTAAGGCACTCACAAATGGGGAGAGGACAGGGATTGGCTTAAGGCACTCACAAATGGGGAGAGGACAGGGATTGGCTTAAGGCACTCACAAATGGGGAGAGGACAGGGATTGGCTTAAGGCACTCACAAATGGGGAGAGGACAGGGATTGGCTTAAGGCACTCACAAATGGGGAGAGGACAGGGATTGGCTTAAGGCACTCACAAATGGGGAGAGGACAGGGATTGGCTTAAGGCACTCACAAATGCATACACACCCACACGTGTTTAATGGACTTGCCACGTGTTTGACTGACTTGCCACGTGTCACATACCGCAGGGGCTGTCCTGGGAGCCGCAGCAAGCGGAGAGAGCGCCCTTGGGATCCACGAAGAGGGCGGAGGTGCTTAGGGTGCAGTCTGGTGCTGTGCGGTGCAGATGGAGGGGAGAGGAGAGGGAGGGGGAGATAGGAGGAAAGAGGAGGTGATTAAAGGGCTGAGGTGATTAAAGGGTCGAGGTGATTAAAGGGTCGACTCAGAAAACAAGCGGACGCCCTTGGAATGCATGAAGAGGGCGGAGGTGCTTAAAGGTGGGGGGGGGTTGACCCATTGCTGTGTGGTGGGGCAAGTGGGGGGAGAGAAGAGGTCTGGAGTTTCAAATCACAGCACGTGAGGGCGTGTGTGTGTGTGTGTGCAAACACATCCGCGCATGCGCGCGCGCACACACACATACACACCTCCCCACACACAAATCCCCCACAAACACCTCCATCACACACCCCCTTCTCCCACACACACCTCCATCACACACCCCCCTCTCCCACACACACCTCCCCACACACTCCTCCCCACACACACTCCTCCCCACACACACTCCTCCCCACACACACTCCTCCCCCCACACACACCTCTTCCACACACACACACACACCACACCACCCCACCACACAACACACACACAACTCCCCTACCCTCACACGTACCCGCCGCTGGCGCTGCTGCTGTCGGGTGGGTGCAGCAAGCAGAGAGGGTGCCCTAGGGATGCACGAAGAGGGCGGCGGTGCTCAGGGAACCACACCACACCACATCACACCACACCACACCACACCACATCACACCACACCACACCACACCACACCACACCACCACCCCCACCCCCACCCCCACCCCCCCCACACACACACAACTCTTGAGGCGCCTCAAAAGTACCCCCCCCCCACCCCCCACACACACACAACTCCCCTACCCTCACACGTACCCGCCGCTGGCGCTGCTGCTGCAGGGTTGATGAGAGACGACGGCGGGAGGAGGGAGAGGAGGAGGAGGAGCAGTGGAAGGAAGGGGATGTGGGAGGGAATCAGAGAGGCGGGTGACACGTGGCGGTGTGAATGGAGGGATGCGCGCCGAGCACGTTGGCGGGGAGTTGATGTTTCCACGCTCCCCATGACCGCCACGTGCTATCTGTTGCTTAAATATCTGCGGATTCTGAATTGAATAAAATCGGCAACTAATGCGAACGCGGGAGCGGACGGATACGGATACTGTTTCCAGCTTTGTATGCACTGTGTCGTCCTCCCGCCGCCTACTATTGCCGAAATGAGGGTATTCGCTTGGTCAAAGCCGTGGCGTGCTGGCGACGCCGAAGCCTGGAATGTGTACGACGGTCGACGGCGGCGACCGCGGCGACGGCGGCACGGCGACGACGGCGACAGCGGCGACGACGACGACGACGACGGCGACGACGTCGACGACGACGACGGCGACAGCGGCGACGACGATGACGACAGCGACGACGACGGCAGTGGCTACGTAATCGCTACTTGTTCGGAACTGGTTCACCACGAACGCGACAGCGGCAACGACGCTGGCGAAAACATCATGCGAGCTTCGCCTAACGCAATTCCGTTGGAAGCGAGCTTCGTTAAATTAACTACCCCTTGTGTACCGACCAAGTTGACCGAGCCGGGGTGGTGATTAATAGGTCGACTTAGTGAGGGTGGTTAGACTGTCGGAGAATCGGTTGAATTCGTTCCGCGTAGCATATAAATAGAGCACTCTCGGGAATTCGAGCTAATATGTCTGGGGCTGTCGTGTTTGTGAGCGGTACGAGAATGCGTCACGTACGAACGCCCGTTAGTACATACGTCATTGGCAAATGCGCGTTAGCGAAGGCGCGTTAGCGAATGTGCGTTAGCTGCAAAATCATTCCCACCGAGTGGAGAAGGGACGCGCGCATTGGAGCTACGGAGGAAAGCAGCGTTAGCGCACCGCGTGAGAGCACGCATAACAGCACCCCGTGAGAACACAAAGGAATAAAGTTATCTGAACCACCCTAAACAAACGAAGCGTCACGTGAGAGTAATCAGGTATTGGTTCCGCGTGAGCGACGTAACTACACGAGTACCGTGCAGTCCGCTACTATGTTTCAAGTGACAGACCGCAGGGCCGAACGAGACGCGATGCAGTTCCGTGAAGGCGACACAGAAGCGCTTCGACGATTCTATCAAATTCGTCGGAATGAGTGGCGTGGCGTTACTTTCCTATCTGTAAGGCGAAAAACGGATAACCGGAGCAAACTGAACGAGAGACGCGCGTGAAGGTTGAGTGATTTGGTTCATGTTCTTGCCAACTACACCCCTCTCCCATGTGCTGGTGGTTGAAGTGAATGTGATGGGAAGGGAAAGGAAGGATGGATGTTCGATTTGCTTGCTCACTCCCTCCCATACCTGCCGTCGTTACTCGTTTCTTCCAAACCAATTTACCAAACCATGGCTGTCGTTTCCGTAGTGGCCGCTCAGCGTGTAAAACAAACCTCTCAAACTCATGGTTTTAGCGAAAGGGTCATCCCTAGCTAGGGCGTGTTTCAACCGTCGGGAGGGTCCTACAATCCTTGTTGGATCCGTATGATGCAGCATGGTGGTGTGGGTCCGTTCTTTTACTTCCCAGTTCTGAAACCCCAAGCTTGGAAGAGACTTCTCTCAGACAGTTTTAGTCACGCTATTCTCTTAGCCAGTTTTTGAACTGGATGTAAACGGAAGCGATTTCAACCGCACCAGCTTCCAGACCAGAATGGAAAGTTAAAGTTAAAGTTATTTTTTCTGGTCGTAACCAGTTTAGGGGTATCCATTCCTAGATGAGGGGGTGGGTTCGATCCCAGGACCTCATCTATAGCATAATATAGCTCAGCCGACGAAAACTGCCGCCCATTTTCGCGGTTCAAAACGGACAACCCCCTTCCTCGTGGTTGACGACCCCACGACGACCTCCGCGTGGAAAGCCCAGCCTATCTGGCTAGGCCCGGTGCTGGTGAGCCCTCGGGATGGTCGACGACCTGTCGACCTCGAGTTCCGCTGAGGCAATCCCGAGAAGGACGTCTCAGCCGCGTGTCAGAATACCAGCTCGGCAAGTCGGGCCGCGATGATCGCCACGCGGCCACAAAGGGACGCCCGAGATAGTCCCCTGGATGGCGGGGCCGCCGAGGTCTGCCAGGTTGGACACGACGGGCCAACGGAAGGTCGGGGTGCTTCGCTTGGGAGAATCTCGCGCATGAACGTGGCAAGGTCGGTGCATACCACACGGCATTCATCCAACGGTTGCTCACATGCGCAAGGAGAAATCCGGCCGTCCACTATCTATGGCTACGTGCAGTGGACACTGATGATGCGGGAATGTCGGCGTCGACCAGAAGAGCATCATCGTGGTGCCACACGGCAGTGTCTCCCGACCTCGACCTACCGAGGTGCACCTAATTCGGGACCACGCCACGTTGCCGCACGAAAGAGCCAGCGTGTAGCAGCCACGAAAAGAGCATGATGAGCGAAGCGCTGCAAGCAAGCAGCCATGCACGCCTGGTGGCACGTCGGACACGGCGCCGCCGCACGAGCGTACATGCATGGCGGCGTCGTGCACTGGGGTTTACGTGGAGCGCCAAGTGGTGCGGATGTGAAATTAGAAACGTGAATGAATTGACTACGAACGAGGTGAGTACAAATAGGAAACCCTAATTGGGTTGTACCCCCTATGGGATACCCCAATATAGCCTACACAAACAAGTAAGCTATATGTTCTGACACACCCCCATAGGCAAAGTGGGGGAGAACAAGGGGTCACAAGACCAGTCAAGCAAAGCAAAGCAAAGCTCAGGGTGGATCACAAAGTCACCACACATTCCGAGCACAAGGTCAAGGGCCACAAGGCCAGTTCGCATGCAAGATTATATATAGAGATATACAAGAATCAAGCAAGCAAGAGCAAGAGTATATATAGGTCAAGGTACAAGCAAGGTCAAGAAGTGAGCAAGTGAGACAAGACAGGCACAAGACCCAGCTGCGTGCAGCAACGCTGATGATCACAAGGCGCAAGTGCCTTGGTGAAGACATCAGCAGTGCTGGCCTCAGAGGCCACGTACGCAAGTCGCAACTGTCCACGCTGCTGCAGCTCACGAGCAAGAAAGTAGCGGAGAGCAATGTGCTTTGTCCTGTGCTCCAGTCGCTGCTCTCGACACAAGGCCAGCATGGCCTTGTTGTCTACGTACAGGACTGGAGGAGAACGAGGCGGCTTTCCAAGGTCGGTCAGCAGGTAGGTGAGCCAGCGAAGCTCCTGAGCAGCCATAGCCCCGGCGTAGATCTCAGCCTCACAACTGGAGCCGAGAACAGAGGACGAGCGAGTAGCCCGCCACGAGACAGAGCCGGAACCAAGGCTGAAGGTGTAACCCTGTGACGACCGCTGTGTAGCCTGGTCGTCAGCCCAAGAAGCGTCCGCGTGCCCAGTGAGGACCACTGGACTGCGCCCTCCAAGCACTAGCCCCATGCCCGACGTACTGCACAAGTAGCGCAACACCCTCTTCGCTGCAGCCATGTGCTCTGGTCGGTGTCTCCCAGGAGCAACATAGCGTGCGAGAATGCTAAGAGGGTATGCAAGGTCAGGTCGTGTGCAGGTCATCAGGTACATGAGGCAGCCAACAAGCTCTGCATACGGGCCACTCGACTCTACGGACTCATCCGAAGGCAGAGCTGAGAGCGAGTGGCGAGTAGGCAGAGGAGTGGCCTGAGGCGAGGAGTACGTGAAGCCGAAGCGCTGAAGGACCTGCTGCACCATGTGTGACTGAGTCAGGGTAATGGTGCGGCGTGCTCTGTCCCGGGTGATCTGCAAGCCAAGGTAGCTGCGCAGTTCACCCAGGTCAGTGCACGTGTGTCTCTTCTGCAGCTCGGACTTCACGTAAGCGAGTCCAGCAGTGTCCGCTGTGGCAAAGACCAAGTCGTCGACGTACACGAGGATGTAGAACGGCGGCAGAGAGGTGTCGGTGCGTAGAAACAGCGACGGGTCGGCAGTAGAAGGAGCAAACCCAAGTGCCGCAAGCGTAGTCCTCAGTGTGTCGTGCCACTCACGTGGCGCCTGGCGGAGACCGTAGACTGGACGCCGGAGACTCCACTGGGTACCAGGAGGGAAAGACCCAGTGAAGCCAGGTGGGCGACGCAGCCAGATCTCCTCGTGCAGGCTGCCCTGCAAGAAAGCTGTGCTGAAGTCGAGAGAGTGCAGCTCGTAGTCACGGTGAGCAGCAACGTGCAGCAGTACCCGAAGAGTGGTCATCTTCGGGGTGGGGGAGAAGGTCTGAAAGTAGTCAACCCCCTGCCGCTGACTGAAGCCACGAGCCACGTAACGCGCCTTGAAGACAGGCGGAGAACCCGGCGGCCGCTTCACCCTGAAAATCCACATGCCACTGACGATGTTCGCCCCAGGAGGGGGAACAGCGTCGACGTAGGTGCCTGTGGACTTCCAGGAAGCCATCTCTGCATCCATAGCTGCCTGCCACTGAGAGGAGTAGGGACCCTTTATCGCCTCCGCGTAAGAGCGCGGAGTCGGGATGTCTAGTGCATCCGGGTCTCCCTCAGGGGCTAGCAGTACAGACGCGAGATGAGGTGAAGCGGCGGCCAGACACTGGAACTCCTCCTGCCTGTCCTCAAAGACGTCCGTGCCAAGGGCACACTCACCCCCGACGGACGGAGGACAGGCAGACTCAGACTCAGCGACAAGACTAGCAGCGTAGTCTAGGCGACAGCGCGCAGCAAAGTCGACAAGCTCAGTGACAAGGGCAGACGCAGCAGAAGACTCGAAAGAAGGGTCAGTGACAGCAGTAGCAAGAAGACGCGTGACAGTAGGACTGGCAGCACGAAGAGAGTCCGACTCCGGGTCGGCAAGAGCAAGAAGAGAGGAAGTAGGAGGAGAAGGCAAAGGGGCACGCAGAGGAGCAGTGGACGGACGCAGAGACATCCGGTGCGTGCCAGGGAAAGGAGGAGGACGCTGACGCGAACCGCGACCACTAGCGCGCGCAGTACGAACAGGCGACACAGGACGAGACGCAGGCTCACGACGCTCAGTAAGACCTCCAGTCGGACCAGCGTAGGGAGAAGGAGCAGGCAAAGGGGAGGCAGGCTGTAGCTGTGACTGTGACGAGACAGGCTGTCGACCCTCTAAGGGAGGAGGAGGAGGACCAGGAGAAGGTGTAAGACCAAGAACCTGCTGCAGGAGCGGAACGAAGTACGGCCGGGGCCGCGTGGCGACGCCAGAAACAGCAGGGACAGCACCAGTACCCCCAGCAGGAGTACCCGCTCCAGCAGCACCTCCAGGAGCTCCAGAACCTCCAGCAGCACCACCAGGAGCACCGCCAGTCGGACCTCCAGCGGCAGTCTCAGCGTCAACACCCTCAGCAGCACCAGCTCCAGGAGAACCCTCAGACCCAGCAGCTCCAGCACCCACAGTACGAGCACCGCCGGGACGCTCGGCAGCAGTACCCTCAGCAGCCGAAGAACCTCCAGCACCAGCAGCACGCCTCCAGCGTCTGGCAAACCACTCACGTAGCTCCTGAGGGGAGAGTGGCTCTCGGCGAGACGAAGCACCTCCAGGCGGAGCACCCCCAGTCTCAGCACCCCCAGGCTCAGCACCCCCAGGCTCAGCACCCCCAGGCTCAGTACCCCCAGGCTCAGCACCCTCACGCACAGCACCCCCAGGCTCAGCACCTCCAGGCACAGCACCCCCAGGCTCAGCACCCCCAGGCTCAGCACCCCCAGGCTCAGCACCCCCAGGCACAGCACCCCCAGGCTCAGCACCTCCAGACTTCGCACCCCCAGGCTCAGCACCCACAGGCGTAGCACCTCCAGTCTCAGCACCCCCAGGCTCAGCTCCCGCAGCCGCACCAGAGTCACCAGTGACCTCGACAGGCTCGACCGCGTCTACCTGGGACACACCTGAAGGGGCAGGACCCTGAGGGGGAAGGGGGTTTACCGGGGGGGGACCTGGTACCAAGAAGAGCGGGGGCGGGGGGAGGGACGGAGTGCGGTAGGGGAAGAGGCGGTAGTAGGGTACCGACTCGTCGAACGTGACGTCCTGGGAGGACAGAACACGTCGAGAGGTGGGGTGGTAGAACTGCCACCCGGGGGCGTCGGGGGGGAACCCCAGAAAGACGCAGGGAGCAGCGCGAGGGGACAGCTTGTCCGCAGACAAGTCGCGGACAAACGCCCGAGATCCCCAGACCCGGAACGCCGACGCATCGCCAACCTTCCCCGTCCACAGCAGCGCTGGGGAGGTCTCCGGCCTGGAGACCCTGGGGTGGAGGTTGATCTGATGCGCTGCGTACCGGACCGCAAACGGCCACAGAAAATGGGGGGCAGCCGCATGCATCATGGACGTACGAGCGACGTCCATGACCATGCCAATGCGGCGCTCTGCAATCCCATTCTGCTGCGGGGAGTCCGGAAGCGTGAAGGTCTGGCGGATGCCTTGCGCACGACAGTAGGCACGCAGAAGGCCAGAGGAGAACTCTCCGCCTCTGTCCGAGTGCAGACGCAACACAGGAAAGTCCGAGCCAAAGCTCTGCCTGAGCTGGAGACGAGCTGCGCGGATCCAGTCGATCAGCACCTCAGTGACATCACCCTTGCTGCGCAAGGGGAAGACTGTGGTGTAACGCGAGTAGTCGTCAACCACCAGTAGGAAGTAGCGCTCGTGACCGAGTCCACGGACGCGGGCAGGGCCCCACACGTCCATGTGAAGCGTCTGCAACGGAGCCTCTGTCGGAGGAAACTGGGAGGAGTGAGGGGCAGCACGCTGGCGCCCCTCGACACAGGGGACACAGGCAGGGCCAGGGCCCTGAGGAAGGGGAGGTAGAGACCGGGGGAGACCAGACACAAGAAGACGGGAGGCCATGCCTCTGAGCCGAAGCAGAGAGGGGTGGCCAAGACGGTGGTGCCAGAGGAGGGTCTCGTGAGACAGACGGCGACACGAACAGGGGGCAGACTCAGGACCAGACCTGGACGCTGCAGCAAACACCTGACCAGACGAAGGCACGCTACCAGACTCAGCACCTGGAGGAGAAGCAGTGGTCAGTGTGTACAGGCTCGACCTTGGCTGACGTGTAAACGTAGCCAGGTGACGACCCGTGCTAGCCTCCGTGCAGTGCGTCACTCGCTGACTAGCAGGGGTGAACTGGTGAACTCCCCCATCCTGTAGGTCAGCACCACTCACCAAGTTCGTAGAGAACGAGGGGAGGTAGAGACCAGACAGGGTGCCAGAGGGAGCCGCCGGACACGGGAGGACCGTGGAGAAGCGAGCCAGGACAGGACCCCCAGAGGGGTCAGCCAGGGAAACCGCAACCGGCCGACTAAGCGGCGTAAGTGTGGTGCGGTCCCGAAAGAAAGAGCGAGACGCTCCAGAGTCAAGAGTGAAGGTGTGGGAGGCCGAAGCCGACGCAGTACCTGAGAGCGCAGACGCACTAGTACCTGAGAGAGCAGTCTCACGAGTACCTGGGAGTACAGACGCACTGGCACCTAGAGCAGAAGCCTCACCGGTACCTGGAGCAGCAGTACCAATGCCCGGGTCGGGCGGGAAACACCGGTAACAGTCACCCTCCTCACTAGTGGTCACAGCATACATGGCAGCAAGGATAGCATCAAAATCAAGATCAAAGATAGCTACACCAGCCCTAGATAGCTCTCCCCAGCGGGGGATCTCCGCGGCCTCCGGGAACTGCTGACGCCAAGCGTCTGTCAGGCGGCCAAAGCAGCGCTGAGCGGGGTGGGCACCCCCACACTGCTCTCCAGTGCGGTCGCCAGTGCGGAGAACGTAGGTGCAGGGACCAAAACCCCCACCGCGCTGACGCTGCGTGTACCACTCACGGAGCTGCTGGGGGGTGAGGACGTCGCGAGAACGGTGCTGCTGCTGCTGCTGCTGCTGTTGGCGCTGACCGCCACCAGTGCCGCTCCGCTGCGAAGCCCCACTCCGACCACCTCCACCTCCGCCACCCCCGCCTCCGCCTCCACCGCCCTCGCCCCCACCTCCACCGCCGCCACCTCCGCCACCTCCGCCACCACCGCCACCGCCGCCGCCACTCCCGCCGCCACCGCTGCCACTAGCACCCCCACCCCCACTACCACCTCCACCGCCACCCCCACTCCCTCCGCCGCCTCCACCCCCACCGCCACCGCCCCCACTAGCCCCACCCGCTCCCTTGCCCCCCTTGCCCTTGCCAGAGCGGCGTCTCCCGCTAGGGGCAGACGCCGCACCGACCGACTCAAGACCAACGAGGTCGGCCGCAGCGGCAGAGGCAACAGAGGGCAGGAGAGGGGAAGGAGAACACCCCTCAAAGATGGGGGCGCGGGGGTCACCTCGAGAGGCTCCTACAGCAACTATGCTCTTCTCTGCTGCAAGGAGGGCCTTCTCGAGGCTGTCGACGGTGAGGGTGGTGGGACAGACCGCAAGGAAGTGGTCCCGGACTACACGAAGGGAGTCAGGGAGGCGAGTAACTAGGAAGTAGAGAGTGATGTACATGGGGGGGGGGGGTTCTTGGCGCAGAAGTCAGCAGGAAGTGCAGCGCGGTAGTGAGTGTCACTAGTGCGGAGGTGCGTGATGAGATCAGCGACAGTGGGAAAGGCGGCAAGGTCAGGGAAGAGGAAGGGGAGCATGAGGCGGCTCAGTGCAGCAGTGGCAGGGGAGGAGTAGCGTGCAACTACAGCGTCGAACAAGGTCTGAGCACTCTTGTACTGACTAAAGTGCGCGCGCTCAGCGGTAGGCAGGTGGCGACGCACAGCAAGACGTGCAGCAGCATCGCGCGTGGCCCACTGAGAGCGAACAGTGGCGTCAGCATCAGCAGCAGGGGCAGGGACAGCGCCAGAGGTGAGGTCAAAGAGAGACAGACTGTCGGCCCTGTCGCACTGTAAAAACAGCTGCAGGTCGTCGAGCCAGACCTCAAAGTCAATGGCTCGACCCTCAGCGTCAAAAGTGAGGACAGTGGGTGTAGCCATGACGACGACAGTGGCGCAGTGCAAGCAGTAGGGGAAGGGTACGCAGTGACAGCAGTGCAGTGCTCACCGGGTAGGGCAGGTCGGGCGGCTCAGGAGGAAGGTCGCCAGACGACACGGCCGCTAGGCTGCTGGGCGGCTCGGCTCCCGGGCGGCTCGGCTGCTGCTGGGCGGCTCGGCTGCTGTTGGGCGGCTCGGCTGCTGCTGGGCGGCTCGGCTGCTGTTGGGCGGCTCGGCTGCTGCTGGGCGGCTCGGCTGCTCCTTGGCGGCTCGGCTGCTGCTGGGCGGCTCGGCTGCTGCTGGGCGGCTCGGCTGCTGCTGGGCGGCTCGGCTGCTGCTGGGCGGCTCGGCGGCGCGTCTGCTGCTGGGCGGCTCGGCTGCCGCTGGGCCGCGTAGGTAGGGCGGCCGGGCCGCGAAGGTAGGGCGGCAGGTGGGCCGCAGGTAGGTGTCAAACATTGTATGTTTGTGTGGTTCTAGGCTGTAGTGGGTCACACCATAAGGGGTACACCAGATTAGGGTTTGACATATTTGTACTGTTGTTCCTGCTAGTCACTCCTCATTCTCGTTTCTCATTCTGACATGGTATTACGAGCCTAGGTTCCACCTAGGACCGAAACGATAGGGCCCACCGTTTCCGCTAGCCGCGCCCTCGTGCGCCGCCGTTCTTTTTCCTGCGCCTCGAGCGCCTCCTTCTCAAGGCCCCGTATGGCCCCGCGCTAGCCTCTCACAGCCCCCGATCGGCCCCGCGCTAACCTCCTAAGGCCCCCGTCGGCCCCACGCTAGCCCCGCGCTAGCCTCCTAAGGCCCCCGATCGGCCCCGCGCTAGCCTCCTAAGCCCCCGTCGGCCCCACGCTAGCCCCGCGCTAGCCTCCTAAGGCCCCCGATCGGCCCCGCGCTAGCCTCCTAAGGCCCCCGTCGGCCCCGCGCTAGCCTCCTAAGCCCCCGTCGGCCCCACGCTAGCCCCGCGCTAGCCTCCTAAGGCCCCCGATCGGCCCCGCGCTACCCTCCTAAAGCCCCCGTCGGCCCCGCGCTAGCCTCCCACGGCCCCTGCAGGCCCCGCGCTAGCCTCTTTCGGCCCCTTAAGGCCCCACGCTAGCCTCCCACGTCCCCTGCAGGCCCCGCGCTAGCCTCTCACGCCCCCCCCCCCCTTTGGCCCCGCGCTAGCCCCGACCGGCCCTCCCGCGCTCGCCCCTCTACGACCGAGCCGCACGGCGCGACCCGAACCGGACCGCGCGACCCAGCCGAGCCGCGCCGCCCCAGCCGAGTCGCGACGCCCTAGCCGAGTCGCGCCGCCCTAGCCGAGCCGCGCCGCCCTAGCCGAGCCGCGCCCTACTTACCTGTGCACAGCACTGCTACTGCTACTGCTACTGCTACTATCACCACTGCTTCTACTGCTACTTCAGCTATGGCTAGCCCTACAGTTCTCTCGTTCGATTCTGAGGGCCGCCCGATTAAGTTTGATACCTGGCTCGATGATCTGCACCTGTTCCTCCAGCTCACTGCCAGAGAGGATATCTCGCTGTACGATCACGCACTAGGCACAGTCCCTGCTCCTGCTACTACTGCTACCGCTACTGCTCGCTCGCAGTGGCAGACTCGCGATGCCCACGCCCGCTTTGCCATTCGCAACTCCCTGCCAGTCGATGAGCGTGAGCACTTCGGCCAGCATCAGACTGCGCAGGCCCTGTACACTGCTGTAGTTGCGCGCTACTCCTCCCCGGCCTCAGCTGCACTAGGCCGTCTCTCCCTTCCCTACCTGTTCCCCGACCTGTCCGCTTTCCAGACAGTCGCTGACCTCATCACTCACCTCCGTACTAGTGATGCCCGCTTCCGTGCAGCCATGCCCGCTGAGTTTCTTGCCTCCAACCCTCCCCCGCTCTGGCTCACTCTCTACCACCTAGTCACCCGCCTCCCTGACACTCTGCGTACAGTCAGGGACCACTTCCTAGCTCGCTGCCCCACTGAGCTCACCATTGCCGCCCTAGAGAAGGAACTACTTGCAGCTGAGAAGAGTATTGTAGCTGTAGGTGCCTCTCGTGGCGACCCCCGCACCCCTTTCTTCGAGGGGTGTTCCCCCTCCCCCCTCCTCCCCTCTGTCGCCTCTGCTGCTGCTGTCGACCTTCTTGGTGCTGAGCAGGTCGGCTCTACGTCCGCTCCCAGCGGGCGCCGCAGCGGCAAGGGCAGGGGAGGCAAGGGCGGTGGGGGTGACGGCGGGGGAGGCGGTGGTGGGGGTGGTGGCAGCGGCGGGGGCGGTGGCGGGGCTGGAGGGGCTAGTGGCAGCGGTGGGGGTGGTGGAGGCAGCGGCGGCGGCGGTGGCCGGGGTGGGGGCGGTGGTGGTGGCGGCAGTGGACGTGGCGGCGGCAGGGGCGGTGGTGGTCGTGGTGGAGGCGGCGGTGGTGGTCGTGGAGGCTCTGGCACTGGCCAGAGTGCGCAGCACCCTCAGTCCTCCCAGGAGCTTCGTGAGTGGTACTTACAGCACGGGGGTGGGGGGGGTAGCCTTAGCTGCACGTACGTCATCCGCACTGGTCGCCGCAAGGGACAGACGTGCGGGAGGGCGCACACTGCGCAGCGCTGCTTCTCTCGCCTAGATGATGCTTGGCGTGCTCAGTTTCCTGACGCTCCTGAGCTCCCTCAGTGGGCTGATCTCCTCAAGAAGGATATCGATATCTATGCTCTTGATTTTGATGTTATTCTCAAAGCAATGTATGCATTGACTATTAGTGGAGAGGAGGACCAGTACCTGAGTGTTCCACCTGACCCAGGCATCCGCACGAGTGAGACTGCCGCCCTAGGTGCTTGCGTGTCTGCTACCCCAGGTACTGGTGAGGCTACTGCTCTAGGTGCTTGTGTGTTCGCCACCCCAGGTACTACTGAGTCCACTGAGGCACTGCACACCTTCACTCTAGACTCAGGCGCTTCGCGCTGTTTCTTTCGTGACCGCACTGCTCTTGAGCCCCTTGCTCGACCAGTCGCTGTCTCGCTCGCTGACCCCTCTGGGGGTCCGGTCATTGCGACCTCCTCCACCCTCCTTCCTTGTCCTGCTGTCCCGTCGGGCACACTGTCAGGTCTCCACCTCCCCTCGTTCTCTACGAACTTGGTGGCGGGTTGTGCGCTTCAGGATGGGGGTGTTCACCAGTTCACCCCTGCCTACGAGCGTGTGACACACTGCACGTGTGCTCGGACGGGCCGTCACCTGGCTACCTTCACTCGGCAGCCGGGGTCGGACCTGTACACACTGACCACTGAGTCCCCTCAGGTAGCGGCGTCTGCGTCTGCGTCTGCGTCAGGTCAGCTCTCTGCCCCCTGCTCGTGTCGCTCTCTAGCGCACAAGACTGTCCTCTGGCACCACCGACTTGGTCACCCGTCAGTGCAGCGCCTTCGGGGCATGCACGCCCGGTACCTAGTCTCTGGTCTTCCTCGGGTACTCCCTCCCCTCCCACCCTCCCTTGCTCCTCCTTGTCTTCCCTGTGTCGAGGGGCGGCAGCGCGCTGCCCCTCACTCCTCCTCGTTCCCCCCGACGTCTGCTCCTTTGCAGACGCTCCACATGGACGTGTGGGGCCCAGCCCGCGTCCGTGGTCAGGGCCAGGAGAGGTACTTCTTGATCGTCGTTGACGACTACTCGCGCTACACCACGGTCTTCCCCTTGCGCACCAAGGGTGAAGTCCCTGATGTTCTGATCCCCTGGATCAGCAGAGCACGTCTTCAGCTGCGAGAGCATTTTCGCTCGGAGTTTCCTGTTCTGCGCTTGCACTCTGACAGAGGTGGCGAGTTCTCCTCCGACCTCTTGGCAGCCTACTGTGCCGAGCATGGCATTCGCCAGTCGTTCACGCTCCCGGCCTCTCCACAGCAGAATGGGGTTGCTGAGCGCCGCATTGGCTTGGTCATGGAGGTCGCTCGTACCTCCTTAGTCCACGCGGCTGCCCCCCACTTTCTGTGGCCGTTTGCGGTCCGGTACGCTGCGCATCAGCTCAACCTCTGGCCCCGTGTCTCCGCTCCGGAGACCTCGCCCACACTGCTGTGGACGGGGGAGGTTGGCGATGCGTCACGCTTCCGTGTCTGGGGATCCCGAGCTTTTGTTCGCGACACGTCTGCGGACAAGCTCTCCTCCCGCACTGCTCCCTGTGTCTTTCTTGGCTTTGTCCCGGATGCGTCTGGCTGGCAGTTTTACCACCCCGCCTCGCACCGAGTCTTCCCCTCTCAGGACGTCACTTTTGACGAGTCCGTGCCCTTCTACCGCCTCTTCCCCTACCGCACTGCCCCGCTCCCTCCCCCGCCTCTCTTCCTCGCGCCAGGTGCTGCAGTGGTAGACCCCCTCCCCCCTCAGGGTGCCGCTCCCTCAGGTGTCTCTCAGGTAGACCCGGTTGAGCCTGCCGAGGTAGCTGTCGACTCGCGTCCTGCTGGAGGTGCTGAGCCTGAGCGTGTGGAGCCTGAGCGTGTGGAGCCTGGGGGTGCTGAGCCTGGGGGTGCTGGGTTTGGGGGTACTGAGCCTGGCGTTGCTGAGTCTAGGGGTACTGCGCCTGGAGTTGCTAAGCCTGGGGGTGCTGAGCCTGGTGGTGTTGCAGTTGACTGTGGGGCGCCTGGAGGACCTCCCTCTTCGCAGCAGCTGCGTGAGTGGTACTCACGGTACTGCAGCCTCCGACGGGGTGAGTCTCGGGCTCGTGGTACTGCTGGAGTTGGTACTCGTGCTTCCCCACCACGGCGGGAGCCGCCCTCTTCCCCTCAGCTTCGAGAGTGGTACGCTCGGCACATCAGTCTCCGTAGTGGAGCTGCTGGTGCTGGGGTCCCCGGAGTTGACGCTGCTGCGAGTACTACGGACCCTGGTGCTGGAGGTGCTGCTGCTGCTGGCGGTGCTGCTGGAGGTACTGCTGCTGCTGGCGGTGCTACTGGAGGTGCTGCTAGTACTGAGGACCCGGGCGTTGGAGCTGCTGTGGGTGCTACGGACCCTGGTGCTGGAGGTGCAGCTGCTGCTGGCGGTGCTGCTGGAGGTACTGCTGCTGCTGGCG